AAGAGAATCAGTAGATGCCAAAACTGAGATGACAGATTTTAGAATTCTGTGAAAAAGATTTTAAAGAAGCCATCATAAAATTGCTTCAATAAACAATTACAGCTATGTTTGAAACAATAAAAACATAGAAAGTGAGAGACAAAAAATAGGAGTTTCAGCAAGGAATATGAGGTAAGAACCAAATAGAAAATTTAAAACTGAAAAATACAATAATGAAAAAACAACCCCCCAAAAAACACACAAAAAAAGAAAAACACTAAACCCTCAGTGGATTGTTTCAACAGCAGAATAGAGAGGGCAGAGAAAAGAATTGAATGAATCTTGAGGGGATTACACAGAGTAAAAATGCCACTCCCAAAAGGTCACATGCTGTAAAATTTCATTTGTGTAGTGAAAGTGTGAGCCGCTCAGTCATGTCCAACTCTGCGACCCCATGGACTGTAGCCCGCCAGGCTCCTTTGTTCATAGAATTCTCCAGGCATGAATACTGGATTGGGTTTCCATTCCCTTCTCCAGGGGATCTTCCTGACCCAGGGATCAAACCTGGCTCTCCTGCATTGCAGGTGGATTCTTTACCATCCGAGATTTCAGGGAAGCCCTTCATTTGTGTAACAGTCTTCAAATGACAAAATTATAGAAATGGAGAACAGATTAGTGGTTGCCAGGGCCTGAGAAGGGAAAGGGCTGGTAGGGAAGTGGATGTGGCCATAAAAGAGCAACATTAGGTGATGAGGAAATTGTTCTGCATCTTGGCTGTGTCAGTGTCAGGGCCCTGGTTCTGGTATTGTTCTGTAGTTTTATAATACACAACTAAAATTTGGTGACATGGTACATGGAATCTCTCTTAATCTTACAAATGCTTATGAATCAACATTTATCTCAAAATTAGAAATAAAATTTTTAAAAGATCAAGATTTTATAGACTGCTGAATGACTCTATATTGCATGTAGAATAAATTTTGATTAATATTTCCAACAATTCATGATATATCAGAAGTATTATTTAAATGAAGCATATAGTTATGCAAATAAAGATGTTAGAATGTTTTTACTCCACTATTACAGTCTTTTTATGGAAAGAAACTCTTAGAGGCATAGGCTCAAAGATAACACATTTATTAAAAAACTGCTATTTGACTTAGGATCATGTGGTTTATCAGAAAGGTCATAAAATTTGGAGTTGGGGCACTTTGCCTTGAGTCCCACCCTGTACCTGACTAGCTGCTCAACAAGTTACTTTATCTTGCTGAGCCTCAAGTGTTCTGTAAAGTGGATGTTATAGCGGAGGTTTAATGTATTAAAAATGGCAGCATATGTGTGAAATGCATGCAGTGCTCATTTATGGTATGCTATTACTCTATGAAAATGTATGTGATATGTAAAAATGAGTACAATAGGAGTGTACTATAATTGCTAAACACAGGTCCACTTCCAAAAATGTGATGCGGGTACCTAATGTGCACAGGGGCTGGGCTGCATGGAGTTCATAATAGAAGAAAGAGACTCAAAAAAATACAGTACAAGTTGAACTGTGGTGAGTGTTGCAACAGACAAGGACACAAGGTGTGGTGGGAGGAGCCAGACATGCAGAACAGGGCATCCTGGGCATGAAGCCTTGAGGCCCTTGGTCAGCCAACTCAGAAGGGGAACAGGTTTAGGTGGGGCTGTGTAGAGATGAAGAGCATGGCACTGATACCAGTCAGCTTAGGTTGGACTCCCCACCCACTTAGAACACTTGTGACACCAGATATGTGGGTTTGTTCCCACACTGGCAAATTCTCCCACACCAGATGCGTGTTCTACAATTCAATTTGGTTGTGATACTCACCGGAGTTAGTGCAGACCCCACAGGTTAAGGGCTCAGCCCACAAAACTTCTCACTTCAGTTGTCCAGTTTCAGGTAGTGGGTTCCCAGGTTACCTGGAACTTCTGCTTGGCTTGGCTACAAATTGGGGGGTGCCCACAACTCCCTCCCTGAGTTCATTCATTTGCTATAACAACTGACAGAACTCAGGTAAACAGGTTTACCAGTTCCTTATAGGATAAATGATGTAAAAAAATGATACAGCCTGTGCAGCTGCCTGAGGTCTTGAGGGCCATCAGCGCTGGTTGCAGGATTTGACTCCTGAGTTGTGCTGATTGCTGCCCTCCACCCCCACAGCGAGTTTTTTGAACTCTTCCAAGGAAGCCTAAGTGGCTGCTTGGGTTTGGGGACTGGTCAGGACCTCACAGCCATTCGTAGATTCCTCTCCTTTTGTACGTGTAGAAACTGAGGCTGGGTAAGGGCACACAGAGAGAGGCTGCAGGCCTCCTGCTTCAAACCTCTGCTCTCTACCTTTGATCAGAATCACGTTCACATGTAAGGCCCAGGGATGCTGCTTGTCGTGCTGTTTTTTAGTTGTCAATTGTTACTATCTCTTTATAGACAAAACATTACAAAATTAATTGCAGTTTCAGAGCAAATGTGAAAATAAACATGCTGGAGTGGAGGTCTGAAGGGAGCAAGGAGAAGCGAGGGAAGAGGTCATACTGTTGCTTTCTTCACCCACCCTCCAGAGAGTTAAGAGGGAGTGGAGGTACATTGGATGGCTTTAGTTCCTGTGCATTAATTACAGTGGCACCACACTGAGGTGGTGCAGCAGACTATCTGGGTATAAGTACTTGCTCTACACCTTGAACTTGGCCAGATTACTTAACTGTGCCTTGGGTTTCTCATCAGAAAATGGGCCCATGATAGTTTTTATCTCACAAGGTTGTTCCGAGAATAAAATGAGTTAGTACATATAAGGTTCCTAGAAGAATGGCTGTCACCGAAAACTCATTTCATGATTTTTTTTTAAATGATGCAGCTGCTGCAGAAGGACAATAAAAGGACTAGAAATTACAATTTCAATCAGCAGATTGGGAAGAGGGAGGGAGTAGTGTGAGAAAGCATGTTCCCTCATCTAGCTAGGTCACTGGCTACTGTTTGAAACTGACAAGTCAAGAAGTAGTGGTATCATTCACACATTATACAGTGAAACTTTCCAAATTCTTCCACAATTTTATAATTTATGTTCAGTTTTTGTCATCATTTAAAAATTCTGGTAATATGATTTATGTTATAGTTGGATAATATACAAATGTATATAGATCTTAAGTTGCATGCCAACTCTCTACCTAATAAATGTTCTTACCTTAAAGGAAATTTTTATGATTTATATAGCAAAGCAAATTTGGAACTTAACTTACACACACACACACACACACACACACACACACACACTTGAAACTATTACCTTTTATGAATTTTCACCTTATATAATGATTTTTATAAAAAATTCATATATGTTCTAGGAATGTGCTAGTCACAATGCTCACTTTATCTCGTAAGTCATGATACTCCCTATCCCTATATCTCATTGAAATAAATAATACCTCAATCTTTTAGACATTTGTGCCTCATCACTGAACTCTTCTGTTGTTTCTAATTATAAATACTAAAACTTTAAGTGTTAAGTAATACATCATTTTCATGGTATGCTGTGTATGTATGTGTGAAATGTACTGCCGGAATTTAATGCAATTTTAGTTATGCTTCTGAAATAGATGAATAAATATTAACTAAGTAAAAAGAAAAGTAGTGATGTAACCATATTTATGGTTATGGAGGCATAATTTAAAAAATTCTCATTAAATGTGGTTATCACTGACAAATGAAGCTGGGGAGGGGAGCCTTTCTATTTTGACTTTTCATTACCATGGATGTCCTATTTTGAGTTTTTTCAAAATTAACATAAGCATGTATATTATGTATTTTGTACTAACTCTTCTGTTGTAATTAACAAATGATAAATGTCACATATTTAAAGTATACAGATTGATGAGTTGTTGATAGGTGCCCCCTTGTGGCACTATCACCACAATTAGGATAAACATATTCATCACCACCACCTCCTCAAAAAAGGGGCAGATTTAAGCTTCTTAGCCTAAACAGTCTATATTTAGGAACTTCTGGGCTTTAATTCCCTTTGAGCTATAGCATGCCTTAGTTCAGACACTTTTTTTACTTCAAAGAGTATTTTCTCTTAATAGCGCTACAATGATGTTTTTTGAAGTGTGTCCTCATATTCATGTGATCCTCTTATCTATCCTGAGTAAAACCTATGAAGCTAATAAGAACCTCCAGTGATTTTTTCTTTAAATGATGTTTTCCATAGAACCTCCAGCATTCTATCGTATGTAATGATGATTGGATTTCAGAGTTGAGAGTGGGGAACAGATGATTCAAGCCTCCCTCAGACTGTTAGCACTGTTCGCTTTTCAGAAGTTCCATTGGTTCTCTGAGCCATTTCCCGAATGCTCCATGTGCAGCAGTCGGGGCTGGGCTAACGTGAGGGAGGCAACTTCTCCCTCTGGGGCGGCCACATCAGGGGGTTTAATTCTGGAGTCCCAAGTGCAAATTGGAAATAGAATCCCTATAGAAACCAGATTAAGATTGTGCTTAACTAGGCTTTGTGATCCCATTAACACCGTGGCTGAGCTGTGCTCCGCGCCAGCTGTGGACGCTTTTGTGGTTTCTTGGTTCGGTTTTGTTTTGCTTTTCTGTGGGCTGGTTTGGGAGCAGAACCACCTTTTTATATCATTGTTTCTATGGGGAAAATGTGTTCAGTATTCCAAACAGACACACAAATGAACTTTTCAAACACAGCCTGTTCACACTGTCTTGTAATAGCCCTTGACACAAAGGGTTTGTGTTTAAAATAATGTAGTTTGTCTTAGGCTAAGGGCGATAAGTTTCTCCAAATCATAGACTTGCCTGCAAATTACAGGACAAATGTGTTAGGATTGATTGGATATTGAATGAAACTTAGAGGGCAAACATGTTAAGATTGACCTGCTGGGTTTTATTTGGAGAATTATGATGTTTCTTAGAGCATGGACTGGCGAACTTAACAGCATCTTTCACAGGTCAATAGTGATGTGTCCATGATGATGATGTTCTGTGTTTTAACTGACAGGTTTTCAGGAGGCCTGATATAAGGGTAAGGATATTTGGTTTTCAGCACATGGGCCTCCGCCTTGTGTGTCTCTGTGCTTTATCGGACACTTAGTCTATTTAGTATTCTTTGCCTTCTCACTGGTTTTATTATTCACTCAGATCAATTTGCTCTGCTGTGTCATAGCTTTCAGTGTTCACTAGAAATGCTTTATTTGTTATGATGTTTTCATATGCGAAAAAGCCAGTGTGTGTGAGGGCAGGATGCTAAAATTGTTTCCAGTGTGCAATACTGACTTTTGTTGTGTTACAGGAATTCTGACCAAGTGGGTATTCATGGCATGGGGTTTATAAGTCTAGGCCTACAGAGTCCTGTTCATTTAACCTTGTTCATCACATAATTCATGCTAGAGTATTTATTAACAAGAAAAACAGCAAAGTGGTCAGTTGTCCATCCTGAGTAGGCAATCTAAGATTTCAAGTCTTGATTACAAGATCAAGTAAGATTTCATGTTTGCATGCTGAATCCCAAAAGCAGAAGTGCTAATCTTGAAGATGAATTTAGCAAAATCAGCCCCATTTAGTATTTCTTAAAATACAGATGTAGCTGTTATAGATAGTGGATTATAGTTTATATTTTCCTCATGATTTTCCTTCCCTTTATTTCAGAATATTCATAAAGCAAGACAAAGATTGGTAATGTGCATGCATTTAAACCTGAGTATCAGATGTTGAAAATTAACCTTGTTCCATTAAATGAAAACAATGTGGATTTTGACAGATTCATTTAGTGACTTCGGTTTTAAACTTTTAAAAATAAGCAGGTTAAATCAAATTCTTGGATTCTAGTTGGTTTATCTTTGTTTAATTTTGTTTTCACCATGTTTTCTTTTGCTCATGGGAATCATTTTCTTTCATTGATTCACATTGTTACCTATTAGTGTTTGGCTTTACACTTGCATGGACTTTGAAATGCTATGTGGGGTTTTTGTTTTTTTGTTTTTTTTTTTGGTTGTTGTTTGGTCATTCATTCTTTTGTTTTTAAAATATTTTATCAAAGAATGATTCCATTTTCTTTGTATTAAAAAAATGGTAATTAAAAAAAACTGGCTGTGTTTAACAATTTGTCCTGTTCTGAAGGGTAGCAGTACCAACTATGTACTAAATTCAACCTGATGATAAATTATAAAAATATTTTAAGTAGCTATTTTATTTTACTGACAAAAATGAAAGGCGGGGAAGAGTAAATTCTTTTATAAAGCTTTGCTACTTATTCACTGATTGCCTTTTAAAGAAATATAATCCTTGGGATCAAAGTTTCTTGAAGGAAAAATATATTGATGCTAAATTTTAATATTTTCAGCCTCAGAGACTTGATATAACTTTTATAAGGGGTTATAAGTTTGTCATCTTCAATATTCATGCTCATTATACCACAGGCTAAACTAAAAGTCCAAGTTTTTAGAGTTTCAAAAACTCATTCTAAAAAGAAATTAAGAATAGTGATACATGTAAAGGAATTGGAAAATTTAGATGAAGATATGTGATATTTTAGCTATTTCTTTGAAGCACATTGATACTGTAGTTAGAAAGATTTAATATTATTTTTGAGTCATAAATCACAGTATTTAATTAGCAATAAGCAATAAGTAACAGAGCATTTGTATGTATCTGCATATGTATGACCCCAACATGTGATATGCACATGTGCATGTGTGGAAATGTTAATTCCAGTGGCATTGACCTCTGGGCAACATAATAGTTGCTTTTAAAAACACATGTCTACGAACCGCCTTTGGATTTTGTCTGGATTTTGGTCGCTGCCCGGTCTCTGTGGTCTCTTTTCTTTTCTATGAGCATGTTATGCATCTGTGATTTTGATTCTTTGCTGTACGCTGCAGTATTGCTTGATTTTAAGAAGACAGTACATTCTGTGTAACCCATGATGTTTGTTTGCTTTTCATTTTACACCCCAACACAAACACAGTGTAGGTACTCCATTTTAGGCAGAGGATGCTATAGATGGCCCCCACGTTCTTTCCTTAACTCCAAGGGGGAAAATTTTGGGATTTGCAAAACCATGAAAGGTGTGTTACATGCTTAGTGTCTCTTTAAGAAAGAACTTCTGTCCTTTCACCTGTCTGTTTGCACGTGTTTCTTTTTCCCCCCTTTGCCTTTTCTTGTCCATGCACCTGGTGCTGTGCAGGAGATTCAGGAAGAACACAATGGCTACCCTTCTGAAGCTGAAGCTGATCAGGTGGCAAGTTGTACATGTTCATCTGTTTGTAGTTACAGACCGTGCATTTAGAAGCCATTTCATATTAGATTTCTAGGCAACCAGCAAATGCTTTTTCCACTACAGTAGCACTCTCCTGTCCAAGTTTGGTAGATTCCATTATGACATTATTTGCAAAAATTGGTTTATCCAACATTTTGTCAACCAGAAATTTGTTCATCTCTGCCTCTCAGTTTTCCCAAGTAGATTTACTGACAGGAATAATGAGCCTCAGTCACAACACGATTCTGAAGCGCCTTCACGAAGACTTAGAGGGGCAGATGCACACACTCGGGGTGCTCCTCAAGGGTGCAGACTTTGCTTCATTCAAATTTGCAGGGTCTGTACCCAGCACAGCACCTGGCATGCTGTAGGTGTTTATGGAATGAGTCCATGTATTTTGTAGAAGAAAAAAAAATCATTCATCGAGGTTTCTTCAGTACTTACTCTTTGCTCAGTACCTCTGGACTCTGGAGAGATTTAATGCAGCAGAGCTTTCCCCAAAGCTTATGTAGAAACTGAGTATATGAAACCTCTAGAGGAGCCACTCCAGGGAAGCATGGCAAACTCCCAGTGCTCAGCTGTCCCTTAGCCCAGCCCACCCTCCTTTGGTGACCCTGGAAGTACCTTGCAGAGGTCCATTTGAAAACCACTGCTTTCGGCAGGCCACTGTTACAGAAACTATCCTCCCAGCAGCCTGGGTTCAAGAGAAGGAGAAAGGAGTGGAGAGCCAGCAAGTTGGTGACCTTCTGGGTCACCAGCAGAGGGCTGGGCTGAGATCATCAGAGAGAATTCCTCAACCGGGCAACACTTGGAGCAGAGGCCCTAAGAGGACTGGGTGTATTCACGAGACATATTTTATCCATAAGAACATTCCTCTTTGATGATGTACATGGGTTGGATAAATCAAGGGTCAAATCATGTCCTGCGCAACTTGGAAGTTGCAGTCAAAGCTTAATATAGCACAAGTGTGCGTCCTATCTAACACCGGCTTTTTAGAGGGAATCTACTGTCCTTGCAAAACAATGAGGCTTTAATAAAGATCCATTCTCCTCTCGAATTCCTATGCTAAAGCTGAATGTCTTTCCTGTACACAGTGAACCTTTTATAGGGAGATCTGAAGCAGTGGGATCAATGATTTGTTTTATTCTGATAGTTGCTTTTTCATCATGTACAAAGCATGTCCCAGATTTAACTATTTTTAGTGAGAGGTTTGTCTCTATCCCATCAACACATCATGCCTCATATAAATGCACGAATATTTCACGCCAGATTTAACGTGACTGTTAGAAGAGGAACCTTTGATCCCTAGCCTCTATCTTGAGAGTCTTGTACATTCTCAAAATGGTCCAGTCACTGCTGCCTCCCATCAACGGCATCTGATTAGTTAGTCCTGGGTTGAGGACTTGAAAGTGTGTGAAGTGACTTTTTATAAAGTGAATCAGACTTTCCTCCACCTCTTCCAAATTCAGTTGATTAGAACAGCTTGCTTTAGTAAATATATTTAAAAATAACCTATTCCCATTTATTTTTGAATATCAGTTAATGATTTTAAGTCTATATGATAATATTTAGCCATTAAAATAGGCTTTAAAAGTGTAACATTTGAAGTTATTAAAAACTTGAATATTGATTAAAATAGCTTTCTCACTTTGTAACTATATTATAAAATCAGTCACTAGCTTAGGCAATAAATTAAAGAAAGCAGACTTTCAAAATAAGGCTTCTGTGAAGATTGGTGATTTTTAGTGTTTCGAAAACTGGACATTGAAAAGTATAGATATTGGTTTATGCTTTATTGTGTCAAAGATGTATTTCCAAAACAGGTATGAGTATAAATCCATCCACAAATACTTCTCTGTGTCCGCTTTAACAGTTTTCTTCATCCCTAAAAATGTTGATTGAGAAATGTCTTAAAAACCAATCTGGACTAAAAGTTTAAACTGAGTAAAATTGCTTGGAGGTGACGATGAACACTAATCTTTAGGAGGAGGTTGGACTGTGTCATTTTGTGCCCTCCCCAAACAAATATCATTTGACCAACATTTAGCATCGAATTTACTCTTTATATTTTGACATTTTCCCTTCTTATTTTATAAAATTGGATGAACCTACTATATATAGTGTTTTTAAGTGGACCTTTAAGACCCTTTATAAAATATATTGAAGTATTCTTGTAACTGTGAAAAATAATTATTTTGAATTTTCAATAATTTTGAGTAGAATTATAAAAGATACCAGTTTTAGTATTTTGCTTCATAAAATTATGTTGAAAACTTAGGACTATCTACTCTGTTTTCTGCCGAACACTAGTGGCCTCCTGATGTTAACAGGTATTTTTTGGAGAAAGCAGCCCCTGATGGACGAGGTAGGGGAAATGCAGCATACTCTAGCGCCTTCTGGCGGATTCAGCCTGCATTAACATGCTAAAGGTTTGTCTCACTAAAAAAAAAAAAAAAAAAGAACCCAGCTAAACTTGTTTCCTTTAACCCAGCATTTCCCAAACTTTTCTAAATAAGTCCTATTCTCATCTCCTGGGAATTTAGTACTCTATGAAACACAGCTTGGGAATTGCTGGAGTTTTGAACACCTTACTCTTATTCATGACACATTATGTCAGAGATGCCTGGAAAAAGTGACCAGTTTCCTTGGCAGCATCTCACAGAGTGGCAGTACCTTGGAATAGGCACGAACTTAAGGCTGTGGTCCCTAGATTTGTAGTTCAAGAACACCATTTTCTCAGATCCCCCGAGTTATTTGGTGCTATCCAACCAAGCTTGCCAGAGACTGGCTCTACTGGTCCATAGTGCCGATCCAGACATTTAGAAATGTGGGCATGTATCCTTCCAGCCATCCAAGACATCCTTTTCCTGGTGATATTGTAACAGGAACCCTGAGACCTCTTTAGGAATTTGCTCGGTAAGCGTGGAATCAGCAGTGTGAACTGACTGGGGAGAAAAGCCTGATGAACAACACACCCTGCTCCACAGGAGTGGATAAAATACTCTTGTCTGCCAGATGAGGGCACATTCTCGTAGCCTGTATACACACTGACAAGCACACTCACCTGTCCTCCCTCCTACACTTTGTGTAGCTGCAGGTAGCTGGGTTGGAAGCTTTCTTATTTTATAAAATAAGGCTTTATAAAGTAGGGCTTTGCTTAGTAAGAGACCCTCCCTGCTTTCTTAAATTAGACTTTGGGGTTTCCCACACATTCTCATAGCTGGGCCATTTCTACAGCTGCTTAAGCATCTGCATCTAATATTGATTTTATTTGTACTAGTTTCACGCTCAGAAGGTAACCTTTTTTGACCTTATTTCCAAATTCTGGAGGCACCTTGTAATAGCTGTCTGTGTAGTGATTACAGTATCTATTTGTCATGTCAAACCATCTCTGTATTAATGCTTTCTAACTGTGAACTTTAAGTATGTGTAACAATTTGCTAGACTATGCAGCATGGTGTCCTGTGATGCGGAGCTTTGAAATTGTCTTGTAAGGGGAGGGGGGCATACATTTTGCACGCTTCTGTAGCCTCGTAGCAAGAGCACAGAGCACTACCATTCTTCCCAGGTCTACAGATGGAAAGGGAGATTTACTCGTGTTTGGTTTCTTGCCAGGCTCTAAGGGATGGAAATAAGCTGGCACAGATGGAAGAAGCACCACTTTTCCCAGGAGAATCAATCAAGGCCATTGGTAAGTTTAACGAGTACATTTTGCTCATGGAGATCCGTAAAATGACATGGCACATTACTCGTAAGCACAGGTGATGTATGTGCTGGAGATCAGCCAGATCCATTTAATTTGGGGACAAATGGATGAGACCTTGCCCTTCTTCATGTCATCATGACCTTAAGAGATAAGGGACTATAGAGGATCCCTTGAAGCTCCGAGCGAGTCTCGGGTGGCAGTACCAACAGAAGAAGGGCCCAACTTTGTCCCATGAGCTGAGGCAGGTGAGACTCTCATGGTGATGTCACTTCAATGATTTGTTGGAAGCCTTCACTAGAAGGAAAAGGTCCTGAGGGATGATCTACATTGTACTTTCAACAGCAATCTTGAGATCTTGGCAAAGAAATTTTAGTGGCTTTTACAAGTCCAAAAAATACAATTTTAGTGCAGGAAAAGGGCATGTGTGCCCACCCTGGATTATAAGGGCAGAGGTCTGCAGTAGATGGCTAGGCATTTCAGCAGGCAGTCCACTGTGCCGGGCTGGGTGTGAGGGCAGCCAGCTGGGACCACTTCACCTCACAACTGCCAGGGTTAGGGTTGACAGCCTCGTTTGTGAGGCTCACTGTAGCCTTCTTCCCTCCTGGCTCCCTCCTAAAGGTGCGTGCCTGGCCCCAGAACACAGTCATGTTGTGTTTGAGTAGCTGGGCTCTCCTGCCAGGACCTTCACACACATCCTTCCTCTGTGATAGCCTACTCTGTGGCTCTGGGCTCTGTTCATCCCAACCTGAGTTTTGAAACGGTTTCTCTCTTGGGCTTCGGGAACTTCATCCACTCCTGGTGCTCCACTGGCCTTTCTGGCCTTTCCTCCTCTAGGAGTGTTTCTAGCCCTGCCTCTGTGTTGTTTTGGGGATGATGGGACTAAAATGCAGAGCTAATTCTGTTATGCCTCTCCTTCTACTCCAGACAAACAGACTACACAGATTTAAAGTGAATGTGAAGAGTTTTGACACATTTATACACCTGGGAAACCACCATCACAGTCAAGATAATGAACATACTTATCACCTCCCAGAAGTTTCCTTAGGCCCCTTTATAATCCCTCTCACCCATGCCTTCTGCCCCTTTCCCAAGCTTTAGAGGGTTGTTGATATTTTCTAGAGTTTTATAGAAATGGAATCATTGAGTATGTCCTTATGTCTGCTTATCCCATTCTGCTTAATTATTGTGATATTCACCCATATTGTGAGTGCTACGGTCAACAGTCATTCCTTTTCATTGCTGAGTCATATTCCATTGTGTGGATACATCACAGTGTGCTGATCCATTCACCTATTGACAGACACTTGGGTTGTTTCTGTTGTTTGGCTATTACAAATAAACTGCCACGAACTCTGATGAACAAGTCATCTCTGGCCTCGTGTCCCATTGTCCTCATGCACCCTTGGACCCAGCCACACTAACCTCTGGCAACTTGTTGACCTCTCCTCCCTTCCCCTTCCCTAGCCTCCCTGCTAAATTAAGTCATTCCTTTGCTGAGCTCTTATCACATCAAGTCCACATGGTTCTGATAGCATTTATCAGGCTCTGTGGTGATTTTCTGTGTAGTATCCCTCAGGGTTTACCTGGTGAGTAGGAAGGAATCTTATCATTTATACCTAGAACCCCAACAATAGGAGCCACTCAGTACATAATGAGTTTTATAAAAGTTTAATGTAAGTATTTTGAGAATTTGGCTGAATGACAGCTTTAGTGCTGTTATTTATCTCCTCGACTCATCAGTAGCTGTGTCCATTCTTGAGCTTTCAGTGGAATGGCACTTTTAGTGGAATAGCACTTTGGGAAGATTGGGAAGATGTGGTATCTTTGTGACTGGTGTGAGCTTCCCAATGTTCATAGGCGTTATAAGTGTTGTTGATTTTGATATGAAAGATGTTGATATTGATACAAACATTAAGAAATATGGAAACTGATGAAGAATTTGAAGCAAAGAAGTCTTTCCCTACTTCATTGACATGGTTTTGTTTTTTGCCATCTGTAAAGCAGCTTTTTGGAGGTGCTTTGGGGGACAGTGTTTAGCTTTAGTTGGTTTTCATTAGTAGTGATTTATGAAATGTAGCCCAAGATCTTCAGAGTTTAATTAATGTTTTTGAATGTGATTAATTTATCACTCAGGGAAAATGTGAACTACTTGGAAGGAAATGACAAAATGTAACTATTATGAGGCTCTTTACTTAAAACCTCATTAAGTAGCAAATCAGACTTTTATTTTAAAAATGGAATTTTATTAGAAGACTATCCATCTATGCCTTTATTTAAAGTAATGAAAAAAATTAAATTCCTAGAAAACTAGAATCATGCATTTGTAGAAAATCATGTTAAGATTTATTGAAACACAAGCCAGTGGCACTAGATGCTATTTTGGGTTTTTTCTTTCAGTGAAAGACGTTATGTATATCTGCCCATTTGTGGGAGCAGTGACTGGCACCCTGACAGTGACAGACTTTAAGATGTACTTCAAGAATGTAGAGAGAGTGAGTATTTAAAAGTGGGTTTAATTTTTAAAAATGCTACAGAAGAAAGCAAATAATAGAAAAGATAGTAAAAAGTATCCTGAAATCCTATCACTCTGAGAGAGACTGAGAGTCAGTTTTAAAATGTGCCCATTTTAAGATGTGCAAGCAGATTTTGTACGTTGAAAGAAAAGGCCATTAAAGGAACACTTTCATGGGGTTGGGGGGTGGGGTTTAATTATAGTCTCAACATCTACATCACCAAGCAAGTGATAAATCAGACCTTGGTGTCTTAGCCAGAACCAGGAGGAAAATCAAAGTAACAAGCAAACATGTTTTTAGCCAGCGAAGACTTGAATTGGAAAACTCTGTTGACTGACACTGATTGGCATTCATGTTCATCTGTGAACCCAGGACCCACATTTCATCCTTGACGTCCCCCTTGGAGTGATCAGCAGAGTTGAGAAGATTGGAGCACAAAGCCATGGAGACAACTCTTGTGGCATAGAGATCGTGTGCAAGGTATGGTGCAGAGAGAAACTGAGATGGGGCAGCCAGCTGGAAAATCCTTGGGCCTTTGGATAGTAAGAATAATTTGGACGTTAGTCACTCAGATGTCTTCGGGACACAAACCTCTTCAACCCTTCATCAACCAGTTCAGACCATTATATAAGCTGTTGAAGTAAACTGCTTCTTTTCTGTTGAAGTGTTCTAATTAACATGGACCTGTAACCTAGGCGGTGACATGATTTGTTACATTTCAGAGAAATCAAGTGGAAAGCAGAGATCAGTATTTTTTTTTTGCAGTTTGTCATTATAAGACTAGTTTTCAGTCAGAGACTTCCTAAAGGGACAAAGGGCCTGTGTGTGCTCAGTTGCTCAGTCGTGTCTGACTCTTTGTGACCCCATGGACTGTATCCCGCCAGACTCCTCTGTCCATGGGATTTTCCAGGCAAGAATACTGGAATGGGTTGCCACTTCCTCCTCCAGGGGATCTTCCTGACCCAGGGAACAAACCCCGCATCTCCTGTGTCTCCTTCATTGGCAGGTGAATTCTTTACTACTGAGCTACCCAGGAATCCCTAAAGGGACAACAGTATTCATAAATTCTGTGATTAAAAACACCGTTGAGTTTCTTGTTGGAATTTGCACTTGAGCCATGCTTAATTTGATTTTGTTCCTTTCTTCCAATGGATTAAGTAAAATTTGTGTGACAGCTTTGATGAGGACTAATCATTAAAGATGAATATGAGCCAACTCTGGACGATGGAGGACGGAGGAGCCTGGCATGCTGCAGTCCATGGGGTTGCAAAGAGTAGGACACAACTGAGCAACTGAACAACAACAAAGTCATTTAAGAAACACCTTAACTGATGCTTTATTCCAGTGACTTTGCCTCGTGGAATACAGTTCACTAACAACCTCACCTAAAATACCAGGCAAGAGATCCTGCCTGCAGCACCATCCAGGTCCCTTCCCAGTTTGGGGTTTGGATTAGATTCCTGCCAGTCTGTCTGCCTCCATCATATCTCTGAGTGAAGCTCTTGCTGGTTGGCCCTAGACTGCAGTTGAACCCATGTTTTCAAATAAGCCTTTACTGTGCTGGGTCAGAAATCTGCTGGCTTCCTAGCATCCCTTGAGCAACACATGGCTGTCCTCCCCTTGGGTCCATGGCGGCAGTCCTGATTCTCCAGGATTCTCCGCAGGCAGAGCAGTGGGAATCCTTTGCAGAACTTAAAGCCGAGGGTGGAGTGGGTGGGTCAATTCTGTAATTGTGGAACAGGTCATTTCCCTACTCAGAACTCTTCAGTAGCTGCCCGTTACCCTTGGGCTAGAGGGAAAACACAGAGACCCCGTAGTGTGAGTGGCCTTGCTTTCCTTGGCGGCTCCCACTCCAGCCCGCCTCCCCTCATTCTTGCCATCCCCATTCCCATAGTTGCTCCCACCCGCCTTGGACCCCGCCAACCCTTGCCACACTCAGACTCCTGGGGCTTCACACATGTTCTGTCTTTGCTGGCAATGCCATTGCCTCTGAGCTGCTGCTGCTGCTGCTGCTAAGTCACTTCAGTCATGTCCAACTCTGTGCGACCCCATAGACAGCAGCCCACCAGACTCCGCTGTCCCTGGGATTCTCCAGGCAAGAACACTGGAGTGGGTTGCCATTTCCTTCTCCAATGCATGAAAGTGAAAAGTGAAAGTGAAGTCGCTCAGTCATGTCCGACTCTTCACGACCCCATGGACTACAGCCTACCAGGCTCCTCCGTCTATGGGATTTTCCAGGCAAGAGTACTGGAGTGGGTTGCCATTGCCTTCTCCCTCTGAGCTGAGCAATCCTAAATAGCAAGTCAGCTCAGTCAGCAACCGGAGAGCATGTGTGTAGCCAGAGTAGCTTGGCGGGAGGGCACAGCAGGAAGTTATGTCACTTAGGCAGGTGTCCTGTAGCTGTTTTCCTACGATATTTTTTCTGTGTGTGTGGCCAAGGTGGGCCTTTGTGAAAAGCAGTTTTAAAATGTTCTTCAGTGTAGAATTACCAGGGCCATGCTTAAACAGGTGATATGAAATTCAAAAAGTACAAAAACTGTGTGTAGCACAAAGTAAGTTTCTTTCCAGCCACCCTGATTCACTCTGTGCAGGCACCCACTGGCACCAGTTTCCATAGATGACCTCTGCATACAAGCCCATATCTGAAAATGTGAATGGTCGTGTGTTACATTGATTGTTCTGCACCTTTCTTTCCCCACTCAGCCATTATCTTGGAACTCCTTGCTAGCAGTACCTAATGAGCCACTTCTTGTTTTCATCAGCTCTGTAGTATGCCATCAGTGGTACTGTAGTTTATTGAGCCGGCCCCTATTTGTTGATGGGCATTTAGGTTATTTCTATTCTTTCACTGTTGTAAATAATACCACAGCAATACCTTCCTCACTTCCCCAATTGCTTTTGCCTTAATTTGTTTGTGGTCACATTTATTTTCAAATTCTGTATAAGATTAAAGAATAAGATTCTTGTGTTTTAACAAAGATCATAGGCTTAGAAAAGTCAGGGGGTAGTGCTCAAACCAATTCTGGGAAGACATTGCACCCTTTGAGCCACCTTGTCGGCCTTGCTCCTGACAACTTCCACTTGGGCTTCAGGCTGACAGCTTGTGTGGCAGGGGGCTTTCAGATACTCATCTTGAGAAGCAACATTGTAATTTCTGGAAGGAAGTCACTGAGAGCCACCGTCTCTACATGACACAGAATCCTTGCTCCGAGTTCAGAGGAGAAACCTCTGTTGCATTTCTATTTGATGGATGGTGCAAGTTCCATAATTGACTCTTTGAGCAGCGTAAAGTCAGAACTGATCCTACGGCACACCTTTAGCATAGAACGGCACACCACTTGACGGCCCGTCTCCTATGTACTAACCTTACTCCTGGTTCCATCTGATGAGTTTTCCCCCCTAACACCTCCCCTTTGTTCCATTTTCCTCAATTTATTATCTTGTTGGAGATGTTTTGTAAATTGCCTTTTGTTAGTTGGAGTAAAATGGAGTCCAGTCACCACTCAGTGTCCACCAGGGACTAGTTACAGGACACCCCCTCACCAGCAAATACCAACATCTGGAGATATGAATGCCCGAATATAAAATGGCATCATATTTGTATACAGTCTCTGCACATCCTCCTGTGTACTTTAGATCATCTCTACAGCATTTTAAATACCTAGTGCTATGTCAGTGCTATGTAAATAGTTTCTTGACAAGTTGTGTGTTTTGGAACTTTTTTCCCCAATGTTTTTGATCCACGCTTGGGTGAATTTGCAGGTATGGAGCCTGCAGATATGGAGGGCCAACTATGTTTTGTGAGAAACGAATAAAAATATTTTGTCTCTTCATACCATGGGGTCTACCTCATAGGTACTCAATACATGTTGAATAAATGAGTTTTGCTAATTGTTTAACAGGATATGAGGAACTTGCGACTTGCTTATAAACAGGAAGAACAGAGTAAACTAGGGATATTTGAAAACCTCAACAAACATGCATTTCCTCTTTCCAATGGGCAGGTAAGTACATGGAAATAACCTTCTTTTTGTGTCGGTCTGAATGCCTTCATGGCAGTCTAAAAATGTCATGTTTAGTTATTCTTTCTTCCTGAGGTTTCCTTTATTTCTTCTCTCTGTTGGTAACTAACATTGACTACTTAAAATGTGTCAGTTCTGTGTAATGATGAAGAAAACTTCAAGTTGGTTGTTTTACAAAATTTTGTAGATTAAAGTAGGACTCAATACATTCAGCTCATAACTGAATGAAAAGCTTTAGTAGTGTACATGTGACATTGCAAAGATGCTGACATGACTATTTTGTGCTTTTGTATCCAGACACTCTTTGCCTTCAACTATAAAGAAAAATTTCCAGTGAATGGATGGAAAGTTTATGATCCAGTATCTGAATATAAAAGACAGGTAAAGTGTGCTGCTTATCAATTGGAAAATAATAGGTTGAGCATCTTTTTCCTAAAAGGGTAGAAATGTAGTGGAGAAGAAACCTTTTGCAACAAGTTGTCCATGGGTGTAACTCACCTCGCCTGTCGGTTCTTCAGCTCTAGATGCCCATTCTCCTTGCACCACACCTTCAGCTGTGCCACTGTTTGTTCTTCCTTTTTTCAGAGGGCAAATGGAGTACCAGGATGAGGGGGAGGGGTTACAAAAGAAACCAGCCAGATGGTTTTTATTAGATATTCTGATAGTAAGCTGATTAGTAAGGATAAAGCAATGGCTTAAGTTAGATTATAAGACATGGCTACGTCAGTCTGATGGCATTTCTCTACCTAAAAGTTCTTTAGTGCATTGTTAGTTTGAAGATATTCCAATGAGAATAACAAGTTGCGTGTTTTGACAAGTTTGACAAATGTTTGACAAAACATTTGACAATGTTATTTTTATGACATTTACTCTTGGTCCGCACCTTATATTTGGTATGGTGATTTATATTCCTTTAGACATTTTAAAGAAGTTTCTATTTGTCTAAAGGACTTACGTGGGTATTTTTAAAGAACAACACTATGCTCACTTGTTATTAAAAAAAAATGACAAGAAATACATAGGACTGGAATTCAAGTATATAATTTGCATGTTTTAGTATGTTTGGAAATTATGCTTCATTAGATTTTTTTAAATGAATTAGGTAGGCAATGGCTTATATAAAATAAATGTATCTTTAATCTTTTAAGCAGTAATGAACAATGAATTACAAATGGATTTTACTAGAAAATAATTGGATGTGGTTTATGCTTAGTACTTTTTGAAAGTGTAAAAGTATGCTCCCCACACACACCACCAACTCTCCTCTGACACCTTGCAGGGCTTGCCAAATGAAAGTTGGAAAATATCCAAAGTAAACAGTAATTATGAGCTCTGTGACACCTACCCTGCCATCATTGTTGTGCCAACTAGTGTAAAAGATGATGATCTTTCAAAAGTAGCAGCATTTCGAGCAAAAGGTAGAATCCCGGTAAGTAATAAACAATGCTATTTAGATGTGAACATATACTGCATTTGTTCTAATATGGGGAAAAGCAAGTTAGAAAAAATCTCGTGAAGAAAATGGAAAGTAGAAAAAGAAGTGTATAAACCCGAACATATCTTTGATTCTCAAGAACTATCTAATTATATAAGCATTTTGTCTGCCTGCTATGACCCCACCTTCCATGAGTTCATGTTCCTAAGTACCAGGGTAACTTCAGTCATGCTTTCAAAACATGGCATAGATAACAGAGGGCTTAGCTTGCTAGTGCGCTGACAGTTCATGTCACTGATGTCACTGAATCATCCTGGAGAAAATACATTCTTTCTTAGATACGGAGGGGAAGGCTATACCTGTACTGGGAGGGCCACCATTGCAGAAAGAAAGAGTAGCCAACAGGAGGTGAAGTATTTTAAAAGATTTGTTGGTATACAAAAAACCCTGCACATGTTTAGTGGATCCAGTTTGGTGAGTTTGGATGTATGTGTTTACTGGGATTACATATGATCACCACAGTTAGGGAGGGAGTGCATGTCTTGAGCCCTGCATGTGCCTTCTGGTTGACCCCAAGTGTCTTGGTCACTGGAGGAAAATGGTAGGTTTGGGGACATAGCTTTAGATTTTACAAGAGACTGTCCTCATCTGGCAACATACGCCATTGTTGAGATCCAAGTGTTAATTTCCCAATCAGGTCTGATTCTTTGTGACCCCATGGACTATAGCTCACCAGGCTCCTCTGTCCAGTGGATTCTCCAGGCAAGAATACTGGAGTGGGTTACCATGCCCTTCTCCAGGGTATCTTCCCAACTCAGGGATCAAAGCCGGGTCTCTTGCATTGCAGGCAGATTGTTTATCGTCTGAGTTACAGTTGAGATTCAAAGGTGTTTTTAAATGAGGAGACAAATCAGTCGATCAAATAGAAATGGTCATGGTGTTAGTCATGGTTTGACTTAGTTTCTGTTTTTCTTAGAATCCTAGAATTTTAAAGGCAGAGGAGATTTATTAGAGCTCACTTAGTCAGACTCCTTTCAGCCTGACCCAAACATTGAGTCTCATGTCATGGCTACTTTCACACTGTCTTCAGGCTGAACTGTCCCTTTTGACAAAAATACAAAAAAAAAAGCAGGTGTGCTTAAGAACTTGGTGGCTTAGTGCTAAAGAATCTGCCAGTGCAGGAGTGCAGGAGACCTGGGTTTGATCCCTGGGTTGGGAAGATCCCCTAGAGAAGAAAATGGCAACTCACTCTAATATTCTTGCCTGGAGAACTCCATGGACAGAGGAGCCTGGAGGGCTACAGTTCATGGGGTCACAAAGAGTCAGACACGACTGAGCAACTGAGCATACACACAGGTACATTAGAGCACATATTGGTTTAGGACCGTACTAATACTTGTTGCTTTCAAACACTAGGTGTTGTCATGGATTCATCCAGAAAGTCAGGCAACAATTACCCGTTGCAGCCAGCCGCTTGTGGGTCCCAATGATAAGCGCTGCAAGGAAGATGAGAAGTACTTACAAACAATAATGGATGCTAATGCACAGGCTCACAAACTCATCATCTTTGATGCCCGGCAAAACAGCGTCGCTGACACAAACAAGGTACCGCAGAAGCTCTTCCTGTGAACTGTTTGTAAAGAATCATGCCGTTCAGATAGCCCCGTGAAGGTGGACTCCTGCGGAGCAGCCCACAGTGGGCCTCCTAGATCTCCAGCCCTCACGAACCTGGTCTTCTCATTGCCCCTCCACAATCCTGTCTGCTGACTCAGAAAGTAAAGACCCAGAAAGAGAATGATCACCTAGAGAATCTAGTAAGCATTTTAGTGAAAAGATCGTGAGGCCCATCAAAGTAACCTTTGATTACTTGACCAATTCATATCTGGCCTGAAGCTCTGTACGAATGGAATCAGCTGTGTGAAACAAGGCACCCAGCTCCGTCTGAACCCACCAGCTGACAGGGCGGGGCTGTGCGGCCCAGCCTCCGATGCCCTCTTTCCAATGGAAAGGCTCTGAGTGGAGTCCTTTCTGTTTCCCACAGATGACTTGCTGACAGTGCAGTCCTGCTGGCAGGCCTGTGGCAGTCAGAGTCCTGGCCCCTTCCATGAGGAATTTCAGGTATCGGGATGGTGGGGACAGCCCTTACCATCTCATGTTGTTGTCATTCAGCTATTCAGTCGTGTCCGATTCTTTGCGATCCCATGGACTGCAGCATGCCAGACTTCCCTGTGCTTCACCATCTCCCGGAGCTTGCTCAAACTCATGTCCACTGAGATGGTCATGCCATCCAACCATCTCATCCTCTTTTGTCCCCTTCTCCTCTTGCCCTCAATCTTTCCCAGCATTAACTCATGCCTACCTGTAAAATGATACTCGGATAACAAACATGTAATGAGCATGTACTAGGGAGCAGGTGTTGGGGAAACTCCAGGGTAGATGAGGTGAGGTGCTCCCTGTAGGCAGAGTTCACCGTTCTGGTGGAGCTTGTGCCACTGGGCCAGGCTTCAGAGGAGGTGGCATCTGAGGTGGTTTTGGATGATCTGCAGAAAGACACATCTGACATGCCTGAGCATGTCATTTATGAAAAGGGCAAGAAGGGGAGTGCCTGAGGGCTCCCCTGCCATGCTCCCCTCAGCAGTGCTTGGAGGTATTTGTTTCTCTTGGCAGCTTGTGCCCCTGCTTTCTTCAGTGATTGTTCCATTGTTGCCTACGTCCTCCAAAAACACAGCCTCCTGCCTCCCCATCTCACTGTCAGGAGGAGCCCTCCCCAAGACTTCAAAGAGCAAACAAGCCATCAGGTGTGCCCTTAACACGTGTGCTGCTGTGGGCCATACACACAAACTGCCAAGCAGCCCCCATCATGGGCCTTGGGGAGGGGGACGTCTAGCTCACATTGAGGGAGCATAGTGGTCACATGGTTGTTTGTACATGACTGTGAGCAGTCACTGCATCTCTTTAGACCGCAGTCACCTCCTCTGAACTGGGAGTAACAGCATACCTCCTCCCTAGACTGCATGTGAAGGTTGTGTGGGGGCCTGTCCCTGAGAACTCATTCAGGTTGACTTCACTACTGAACTTTCAGGTCATTTTCACTACTGACCCAGAGTGGATGGCTCCATGCTCTTGGCTCTCATGACATCTCTTGCCCCAGGACCTCTCTCTGCAGCCTGGCCAGCTCAGCCTCCTTCCCTGCTTCCTCTCCCTCTCCCCAATTGGCAGATGGCAGCATGCCTTGAACCCAGTCTGGGTCCTCTTTTCTCCTTTGCCCAATCTCTCTGGGCCATCTCCTCCATTGCCCTGACTCTTAATACTGCCTCTGTGTTGAGTTTGCCCTCCAAGTTTCTCTCCCACCATGATCCCTACTAAGGTCCAGATGGGATTTCCATCCCATCATCTGGTTGGTATCCCTTCTTGGTTGTCTCCCAGGCAACGAAACCTAAGCATATCCAGACCAGCCTAAGAGGTAGGGTAGTGACAACCCTTGGCTTTGCGTTCAGTTACACCTGGAGTTTCCTCCCGGCTCTGCCACCTGGTGGTTGGTAGAACCCTGAGCAAGTTACCTAACCACTCCAGAAGCCTCTTCTGTAATGGGGGGCGGGGCAGGGCGGGGTGGGTGGGGGGTGACGGTATCTCATGTAGAGGGCTGCATCAGGATGGAAATGGGGTGAGAGGAATGAACAGTGGTATCAGCTACTGAGGCGGGGAAGCTGGGAGAGGACCAGGACAAGGAGGAAGATGGACAGCACCTGAGTTCCCTGAGGTGCTGAACCAATGACCACAAAGTTGGTGGCTTAAAACAGCACACCTTTATCCTCATACCCTTCTGGGATCTGGCTGCGGTGCCCTCCTGAGGCTTTCTGGGGAGATCCGTTCCCTGCCTCTTCAGGCTTCTGGCAGCTCCTCTGTGCATGCAGCGATAGCACTCCAGTGCCTGCTTCTGTCTTCACAGAGCCTCCTCCTCCCCGTGTCTCTGTGTCTTCTCCTCTTCTCTCTTCCAAGGATGCTTGGAATGGCAGTTAGGGCCCACCCAAGATAACCCAGGATTCTCTCTTCACCTCAAGAACCTCAATCATACCTATAAAAAGGGGCACATTTACAGTTGCTGGGGATTTGGTGTGTATATCTTTGTGGGGTGGGGGGAGGCATTTTTCAGCCTACTACAAAAAGTCATCCTCAATCAGTCAGCTCCCCTGGCTCCCCACAGCTGGTGAATCCAGTGACCCCTGTCGGTCTTTCTGTGTGCTTCCTGTCACCACTGTAGTACTGTCCCCAGGAAATTGTAAAAAACATGATAAAAGCTATATTCACGGAGGCAATCTCTAAACATCCAGCAGAGCTAGGGCAGTCCATTATGTTTTATCCCACACAGAGGGGACAGGAGTCGGACACCAAATTGCATGTCTAGAATGATTTCAAGAACTCTAGTGGTGTATGTGTCTACAAACCAGACAAGGATATTTATCTGTCCAAGGCCCCATTAGCTTTCTATATATATCATGTCTGCAAGTAGAGATAGTTTTTCTTCTTACTTTCCAATCTCAATGTGTTTTATTTCTTCTTCTTGCCTAATTGCCTGGCAAGAACCTCAAGTACCATGTTTTGCTTTTTAGTTTTATTTTTTGGAATATCCAGTTGTCTTTATTAGGTGATTCATGAATCTAACAGAATCCCATCTAGCAGCCAGAAGGGTACTTACTCTCTAGGACCCTGTTAAATAGAAGCGGTGAAAGCAGGAATCTTTGTCATGTTCCTAATCTTAAAGGGAAAGCTTTCAGTCTTTCACACTGGCTATACTAGCTGTGGTTTTTCATACATGCCCTTTTCAGGTTAAGGAAATTCCCCTCAGTTCTTAGGTTTTTGTTGAATGGTTTTATCATGAAAAACCATGAAAGGATATTGGATTTTCAGAAGCCTTTTCTGTATCAATAGATCTGATCATGTACTTTCCCCCTTCATTCTGTGTCATGTGGTGTATTATCGATACATTGGCTGATTTTTGTATGTTGACTGATGTAGTGGTATGAATAGCATGTCCCCCAAATTCATGATCCTCTGGGACCTCAGAATGGGACCTTATTTTGAAATTGTGTCTTTTCAGATATAATTAGTTAATATTGGATCAGACTGGATTAGGGTAGGCCTGAAATCCAATGATGTGTGTCCTGATAAGAAGGTCGTGTAGAGACAGTGACCCAGGGGAGATGGCCACGTGACAGTGAAGGCAGAGGTTGGAGCCATGCAGCTACATGTCAAGTGGCCCCCAGAGTTGCCACAGTCCCTGCAAGCCAGAGCCTCTGGAAGGAACTAACCCTGCCAATAACTCAGCCTTGGTCTTCCAGCCTCCAGAGCTGTGAGGGGATCAGTGTGTCATTTTAGGGCACCTGCTTTGTGGTGCTTTGTTACTGCCACCTAGTACTGTTACTCATACAAGCCCTCACATTTCTAGGATAGGTCACACTTGGTCGGGATGAATAATTTTCTTGCTATGCTGCTGGATTCAGTTTGCTGGTACTCTGTAGATGTTCCCTTCCACCCTTTTTCCATATCCTGGCCAGAGGGATTTTCTAGAGGTCCAGCTCTGGGCACCCCTAGTGCCTTGAGGCAGTGACAACCAATTTCTGAACAAGGCCTCTGAAGCCTTCCAAGCTGAAGGCCCTTTCCTTCCAGCCTTGCCACACCTTTGAGGCCCACATCCCAGCTGTGGCAGGCACCTTTCAGTTCCTTCAGCATACCCCAGTGCCATCTCCCAGTCTCCACACACATACCTAACCACTGCCCCATCCGTCCGACCACAGTGGGAACATCGCTTCCCCAGGGCGGTCTCCCCAGGTGAGGGGCAGTCTCCCATGCCAGGGTGCTCTGCTCTTTCTCTCTGTAGTCCTCGGCGCACTGCCAATTCCTCACTCAGTGTGTGACTTGCCCCTCTGCAGCAGGGACTGGAGGGTACGGAGCACACCTGGAGCCCCAGAACTGGGCTGTCACACAACAGCTGCTCCCCAGCTGGGACACAGAGCTGTTGGCTGGTGGGCGGGCCCATCTTTCCATGGGGGACCTGCTGGGAAGTGGCACTGGATGTTAATTCGGAAGTCCTGACTTCATTATGGAGGTCAGCTTTAAGTTAGCTTTCTTCTTGGGAAAGGGAAGGGAAGGAATTTCATTTTAAGCTGTTACAAGTTGAGGAGCCTGTGTGGGGAGGATACAGCTGTGGAACTCAGAAAAAGGTCAGGTTGGAGGTTGAGACCGGGGCCCGGTAGCCTGTCAGGTGGAGATTGCAGCCTTGGATGGGAGGGGATGAAGTTAGTGAAGGAGTGTAGATCACGGGTGCAGGGGCCTGGCACAAGGGCCCCTGAAATGCTGCCTGGGGTGGGTAATAGAGGAACCCAGTGAAGGGAAGGGAGAGGTCCCAGATGCCAACAGATGAGTGTTTGGGGGAGATTAGAGGAAGGGGTGTCTTAGTCAGCTTGGGCAGTTATAACTAAATATCATAAGCTGGGTAGCTATAAACAGTACCACATATTTCTCAAAGCTCTGGAAGCTGGAAGTCTAAAATCAGGGTGCCAGCAGTTAGTGTGTGGTGAGAGCCCATGTCCTGCCTTGTAGAGAGCCATGTTCTTGCTGTATCCTCACACCGCCAGAGCAGAAAGGGGCGAACTCTGTCATGTCTCTTCCTAGAAGGGCGCTGTCCCTATTGTCAGAGCTCCACCTTCCTCATCTTCTAATGCAGTCCCACTGGGGATTCAGTTTGACATGGAGATTTTGGGAGGGATAGGAACACTCAGTCTGCAGCAGTGGGGAGCTATGTGGCCTTTGGTGTCTGAGTATGTGGAAATCTTGTCCTTCCAGTCTCTTTGGGAGTTGGCCGCCCTCTGTGAAACTTTTGATGTTCTCACATGAGAATCCTCCCCACTGCCTAGGGTGTGTATCCGGTGGTTGAAGAGCCTTCATTAGGCACTGAGCAGCTGGCCTGTAATCATGAAACCTGAGCCATTCTTCAGCCGCCTCCTTCCCAAGGGCTGTGACTCTTGTTCTTCCCTGAGGGTTGAGGATGGCCCTGCCACCACTGCTGTGAGCTGACTCTTGGAGACTTGGAGACCAGTGGGGACCACTGTCCCAACATAGCTGGCTTCTCTCTGGAACCTTGCTTTGCCCCCATAGAGGGAGGGCTGGCCAGCAGGATCACATCTTCCAGAAGTTTGAGCCTCCCCCCATTCCTGCTGGGGTATACGTGGGGCCCTGTCTCGCTGTATCAGCCTGCCAGTTGTGTCACTGTTCATATTGTTTGCTGAACCCAGGCTAGGCAAGGTGTGAGTGGGGGAGCTGGAAGAAAACTCAAGGAGCTGTAGGAACTGCAGACATATTTATTCTCCAGTGGTGGCTGTGGTGGCCATAGCACCAGACATGCTATATTCACTCATGGGTGACCCAGCAGATGCAGCCATAACATAGCTACAAGGGCTTTTCAGGTGGAGCTTATATATGTTTACAGAGCAAGAGTGGCCCATGGCCAAACGGGTACATCATGACACACATGCAAAGTGCTCTAAGTTATCTCAGCTGTTACATAACCATGTACTTACAAAACGTGGGCTGAGAGCAAGAGTCTGTGGGGTGACATTGCCTGACCACCGCCATCTTAGCTCATTTGCTCTTTACCTACAGTTCCATTCTCACTCTCCTTACCCTCCTCTGTCTCCAGACCTCCGGGTGCCTGCTCTCTGTCCTGGCACAGAGTAGGCACTCATGCTCTATTTCTCCCATGATCCCATTTTCTGATTGGTATTTGTCTTATTTGGAGCTTTAGTAATCAGTTTTCAGGCAGCCAATTGGCTTTAACTAAATTCTCCTGGTTAACACCAGCCCTAAGCAGGTGTCCTCTGCACTCATGCACTTACTGGGTATGGGGCCTCTGCCCCAGCCTCCAGGCTCCCTTGGTAGGACCAGGTCCAAGTCATTGCCCATCTCAAGGCTCTGCATGGTAGGTGCTGAGGGAGGTCATAATACAAAGGTGCCAAGTAGTGGGTAAGGGGTGCTGAGCCTTGCACAGATTAGCTTTCATTAGATAGTTTATTTAGTTAGTATTTAATCCCCATAGTGAGCCTCTGCAGTATTTCAGGTGAGAAATCTGAGGCGCAGAGAGAAGGTGAGCTACTGAGGGAGGGGCAGGGCTGGGATGATAAAGCCCACGCTCCTGCCACCAAGGCCTGTGCCTTGAATCCCTCAACCAGCAGCATCTTCAGTGGGTGCAAAGGGTATTGTTATGAAAAATGTCACCATGCCCCACAAGCAGGACTAAGCTCTAGGCTGCATTGTCCGCAGTGGGTGTTCAGAGAGTCTTCCATCATTCCGTGCTGTTGTTTCCCCACCAGTTGTATTTGAAGCCCCTATTCTGCACTCTCGGGTGTTGGCATGCTCCCCTGCCCCTTGCTGCCTGCCTGCCCCAGGGCCATGCCAGGACTGCTGAGCAGAACCCCAGGCTCAGGGCTGGGCTCCCCACCTCCTCCCCAGGGGCCAGGTCAGCCTGGCCCCATGCCTTTCCTCCTTGACCGCTGGCTGTACTTGCTTCTGCACAGAACACACCAGCTCTTGGACAGGAACTGCCCCCACCTGCCCACATCCCACTGCACCCCACGGCCTGGAAATGAGGGCCCCCTGTGTCCTCCCCTGACTGCCGCCGGCTCTGCCCGGCCTGCTCCTATGCCAACTGGCTCCCAGGAAGTCTGTTCATCTCTGCAGATAAGCCCTCCCCAGTCCCTGTCCCCTTTCCCTTGGAGCTGGCTCTGCCATTCCTGTTCCTGGACTGTTTACGGTAAGGCCACCAAGTGCCTTCTTGTCAATCTCACGAGCTTTTGATGCAGTTGAGTACCCTCTCGTTTTCAAAAGACTCTCTTCCCTTTTCTCTTTATCCTCCAGTCTCCAGCTGCTATCCTCAGGCTTGTTTGCTCTGCATTCCCTGAATGTTGGCCTTCCTCTGACCTTGACTGCTCTCCTGGCCACACACACTGGCCCTGAGCCCTGGACCCACACCCCGAGCCACCACCCAGCCCCCTCATTCATGCTGCAGAGCTGTGCATCCTGCTCCCGAGACAGCTCCATCACCCAAAGCCCAACGCTGTGTTCCTCCTCCAGAAACCATTGCAAATTTCACAATTCAGTGCCTTTCAGTCTTCTGACAGTGTTGTGCAGCAGTCACCGCTGTCTCATTCCAGAATGCTTCCACAGCCTTAGCTGGAAACCCTGTGCCCACTGACAGTTGCTCCCCATCCTCCCCTCTCCCCAACCCATGTCAACTGCTAATAACTTTCCATGTGGATTGCCTTCTTCTGGACACTTCATATAAATGGATTCATACCCTGCATGGTCTTAGGTGCCTGTCTGCTTTCACTTGGCATGATGTTTTTATGGTTCCTCTGTTGTAGCACAAATCAGTACTCCATTCCTTTGTGTAGCTGAGAAAGAACCATTGTAAGCATACAGCACACTTTGTCTCTCCACTCATTCATTGATGGACATTTGGGTTGCTTTCAGCAGCTATTGTGGATATTGCGGCTATGGTTTGTTGCATACAAGTTTTCATGTTTTTAGTTCTGTGGGAGCTAGAATTTCTGGGTCATATAGTAGTTCTATATTTAACTTTTTGAGGAACTGGCAAATCTTTTTCCAAAGAGACTGCATAATTTTAACTTTTACCAGCAATGTATTGGGGTTTCAGTTTCTCTATGCCCTGGAGAAGGGCATGGCACCCCCCTCCAGTATTCATGCATACAGAATTCATAGACAGAGGGAGCCTGGTGGGCCACAGTCCATCGGGTCACAAAGAGTTGGACGCGACTGAGTGACTAACACTTTTACTTTCACTTATTCTTATAACAGATGTGGTTTGGATGTTGACCTCTACAAAGTATAAGCTAATTATGGACCACATTTTGTTATCAGATTATCAAAGAGTGAGCCATATTGTCTTTTTAGTTATATTTGCATTTTATTTTACTTAAATTACTTAAATAAATCTCACTGAGATTTACAAATTATTATGTACAGAAGTTTTTCAGTAGTACAACTTTTTTATTTAGATAGATGGCAGAAGGTTTTAAAACCCAGTTCACCTTGTGTAAGATCCAATTGTTAATCATTTTAAAACTGCTGACAGGTGATGGAAGATTGTTGTGGGTCGAATTATGTTTCCATTTAAAAACTATGTGTTAAAGTCCCAACTCGTGGCACCTGTGCCTACAGCCCAGCTTTGAAATAGGGTCTTGGCAAATTAAGTAATTGGGTAATCAAGTTAAAAGAGGAGGTCATCAAACCCGGGTCTCCTGCATTGCGGGCAGATTCTTTACCATCTGAGCCACCAGGGAAGCCCCCATATTGAATAAGTGTGCATACTAATCCTTATAAGAAAAGATACCGACCCAAGGAGAGGACCATGTGAAGATGGGCCAGAGGTTAGTGTATCTATAAACCAGGGACATCCTGGGCCACCAGAAGCTGAAGGAGGCAAAAAAGGATCCTCTCTAAGAGGGTTCTGAGCGAGCACAGGCCTGCCAGTACCTTGATTATCGAGTTCCAGCCTTCAGAACTGAGAGAGAAGACATGCCTGTCACTTTAAGCCACTCAGCTGGTGGTACTTTCTTTCAGCAACCATGGGAAACTCATACGAGGATGTAGGAGGCTTATGATACACAGATGAGTCTGAGGCTTTATGAGTGGCCTCTATCTGGCAGCACCAGGAAGAACAGTAAAAATTCACTGAGATGAAGTGACGTCTGTCTTTTGTTTTCACAGGCAAAGGGTGGGGGCTATGAAAGTGAAAGTGCCTACCCAAACGCTGAACTCATGTTCCTGGAGATTCACAACATTCATGTCATGAGAGAGTCGCTGCGAAAACTGAAGGAGATTGCATACCCGGCCATCGATGAGGCACGCTGGCTGTCCAACGTGGACGGGACCCACTGGCTAGAGTACATTCGGGTACGGGGAGGGCCCGAGGGCCCGCCCTTCCCCACCCTCTGCTTAAGCCTTCTCTGGGGATGGCTGTTGAGCTATCTGTGTCTCTCTTCAGGTGGCTTCCCAGCATTGCAAATGAGTGCATCTTTGCTGTGTGCTTGGGCTTTCATAGTTTGCATGGGCAGCGTCCAAACTGTGGTCTTTGTTGAAGTACTCCTGTGACATAATAGAAAGGGATAATACTTTCCTCACATCGGACCCTATTTACTAGTGTAGTTTTTCCTTAGCGTAAGTTTCCACCCCCCACCTCCACCAGGATACTAATGTTTCCTGCAGCTAAGTCACTTCAGTCGTGTCCGACTCTATGCGACCCCATAGATGGCAGCCCACCAGGCTCCGCCGTCCCTGGGATTCTCCAGGCAAGAACACTAGAGTGGGTTGCCATTTCCTTCTCCAATGCATGAAAGTAAAAAGTGAAAGTGAAATCGCTCGGTCGTGTCCGACTCCTAGCGACTCCATGGACTGCAGCCCACCAGGCTACTCTGTCCATGGGATTCTCCAGGCAAGAATACTGGAGTGGGTTGCCATGCCCTTCTCCAGGGGATCTTCCCAACTCAGAGATCGAACCCAGGTCTCCTGCATTGGCAGGCGGATTCTTTACCACTAAGCCACCAGGGAACTTTTTGCTGTAATAGAAATTAAATGTTGCTTGATTTAATGTGCCTTCTTTTTTGAAGATGCTTCTTGCTGGGGCAGTAAGAATTGCTGATAAAGTAGAATCCGGGAAGACCTCAGTCGTGGTGCACTGCAGTGATGGCTGGGACCGAACAGCCCAGCTGACGTCTCTGGCCATGCTGATGTTGGACAGTTATTACCGCACCATTAAAGGATTCGAGGCTCTCATAGAAAAGGAGTGGATAAGCTTTGGACATAGGTTTGCACTGGTGAGTTGAGACGGTGAGGTGCACGTTTCACTGTTTGTTGTTCCATCATATGCACATGCATATCACATATCTCATATATACACACACACAGATACACATACACAAGGGCTTTGTGCTCTGAGAACTGAATTGCCATAAGAGAATACTATAGATATCAGCATTGTATTAATATGTCTCTGGTAGTGCAGTCTTTGTTTTCCATGTTGGTATGCCTTTTTTTTTTTTAATTTTAAAAATTGAGGTAATGTATGACAAAAACCACTGCAATGATGTAAAGTAATTAGCCTCCAACTAATAAAAATAAATGGAAAAAAAAACTGAGGTAAAATTCATATAGCATAGAATCAACCATCTTAAAATATGTAGTTCAGTGGCGTTTAGTGCTTTCACAGTGTTGTGCAACCACCATCTCTCTGTAGTTCCAAAACATTTTCATCACGCCCAAAAGGAAACTCTATACACATTAAGCAGTCATTCCTCATTTCCCTCTCCCTGCCTTTGACACCCACTAATCTGCTTTCCATCTCCCTGAATTTGCCTACTCTAGATTCCTGACATAAGTGGAATCATACATTATTTGTCTCTCTACGACTGGCTTATATCACTAAGCACAGTGTTTTCAAGGTTTATCCATGTTATAGCATCTGTCAAATTTTAACTCCTTTTCGTGGCTGAATTCCAATGTGTGGATATACTGCATTTTGTTTATTTACCTGTTGATGGACATTTGGGTTGTTTCTACCTTTTGGTGAATGATGCTGCTGTGAACACTGGTGTATAAGCTTTTACCAGACAAAGTACCACAAGACCGGGTGACTTAACAGGAATTTATTGTCATCATTCTGGAGGCTGGAAGGCCAAGATCAAGGTTCTGTCAGGATTGGTGGTTCCTGATAGCTCTCTCTCCTTGGCTTGTAGATGGCTGCCTTCTTGCTGTGTCTTCACGCTGCCTTTCCTCTGTGCATACACAAAGCTAGTGTTTCTGTGCCCAGATTTTCTCCCCTTGTCTCAACCATGCCCCTCTACTTATGGCATCCTCACTCTCCCTCCACCCCCTCCCCACTTCTTCTAATAGAATCTACCCCTGGCCAGTCGGAAGCTTGTCTTTCAAGCTTTATCTCAAAAGAGACTTCCTCCAGGACTGTGACTCATGACTTTCCCGCCTAGCTCCCTCTCATAGCCCATCCTGGGATGCTCACTTATTCTATGGACCCACCATACCCATTTCAGACTAGGAAGTTCCAGGCACACTTTTTTTCCTTGTTATTTACAGGTCTTCTCCTGTGACTAGACCACAAGTGAATTATTGATTTAGCACAGATGTTGTGTCCCATGTGTCTTGGTACCCCAGGTACCTCTACTGGATACCATCAAACTGTCTGAAATCCTGAGGGCTGGGAGGAGGGATGCCTTGCATGCACTGTAAGAGTTCAGTGCCTGTCTGTTAAGGGAAATAACAAATCTTAAATTGTGAACTGTCAGTGCAAAACTTCCCCATGTGCCTTAAATACAGGGGCAGTTTCCACAAATTATAGAGAAGTACAGAAATAAGGCAATGCATGCAGCTACTCTGGAAAACAGTATGGCAGTGCCTCAAAAATTAAAAATAGAGTTGCCATATGATCCAGCAATTCTACTTCTGAGTATATACCCCAAGGAAGTCAAAACAAACTCAAACACTTATTTGCACACCCATGTTCATAGCAGCACAATTCACTAATAGCCCAAAGGTGGAAGCAACCCAGTGTCCATCGACAAATGAAGGGGTAAACAGAGTGTGGTCTATCCACACAGTGGAACATTATTTAGCTTTCATAGGGAATGAAATTCTGACACCAGCTACAATGTGAATGAATTATGAGGACATTATGTTAAAGGAAAGAAGTCAGTGCAAAAGGACAAATTGCATGATTCTGTGCATATGAAGTATCTAAAGCAGTCAAATCTGTAGAGACAAAGGAAGATGACGGGAGCCAAAGACTGGGGGAGGGGAATAGGGAGTCAGTCAATCATTTGCAAGTGTAGTAACTTTCTTAAATGTCCATAATTGTGAATTATACTAGCTGTTAAGAAAAATCCAGTAAACAAAATAAAACTGACTTCTGGTTATTACTCTAAAAGATCATATGGTTATTAAGAGAATAAAAATGCTTAAATATCAACACTTCAATTCTGTAATGTCCTTCATGTATTAATCCAGACAACTCGATAAAATATTATTTCCTTCTTATAACTCCCTTGTTGAGGTGAGCCTACTCCCAGTAGCTGAGAGTCAGCCAGCTAGTTTTTGTTTTGGAACTCCTGGAGACAGATGCTGGTGATAGTTGTACAACAGTGTGAATGTACTTAACACCACTAAACTATACACTTAAAATGGTTACAATGGTAAATTTCATATGCATATTTCACTTACAATTAAAATGTCTTTTTAAAAAAAGAAGGCAGTACACTTCCTCTGAGATGTTCATTGTTGACTTGGTCATTTGTTTTTCTGTCTTTCCTAGTAGTGGTTTCATAGGCCCAGTATTTGTCACTCTTCCTGTGTAGTGATTGCCTTGTATCTTCATAACTTTCTCATCCTTTTGCTTAGTCACCAAATTACTTTAAGTTTCTGTTAGAATGCTCACTCCTGGGTGGTCTTTTAAGTTGACATTTCCAGTGTTGTGTCAGTCCCGTTTAATGTGTTTGAAATTATCTTTTACCTTTTAACATGAATCTATTAACATCTTCAAAAATATGTAAAAGTATGACATACAATGTTGGATGTCAATTATATCTTAAAACTGGAAGAATAAAAATTGAGAGATACTACCCTGGCCTGCTGTGAGGACTCCCATTCACATTTCAAGAGTGAGATTTTGAGGTTGTCTGAGTCATGCAGAATTGGCTTAAACTTGTAGATTGTTAATTGTTATTTTGATTCTCAGACTTTCTGACATTTGTGAAAAGTGGGGGAGAAAAACTACACTTGTGGAGAAAATGACCATCATACTGTGCTCTGTGAGCTGCTAATTGCCATCCCAGGCTGACAAGGAGCACTCTGTGGTGGCTGGGGTTGACCCCGTCACTTGGAGTGCAAAGTTGACTGGCCATTTGCTTATAACTTGTTGATCTCAACTATATTAAAGCAAAATTATAAAACAATCAACATGTAAACTGAAATTTTGTTTCCTAAAAGTAATGGAAGTCAGTTCAGTGCAATGAACATTTCTGAGAGCCTTTTATGTGCCAGGAATCCTGTTGGGCCTTGGGACATATAAGAGACATGCTTCTTGCCACTAGGCAATTTAAAGTGACTTCTGGGAGGACCATGACATACATTAAATTGTTTAACCTCTTGATTCTCTTCAGCGAGTGGGCCATGGCAATGACAACCATGCAGATGCTGACCGATCCCCTATATTCCTTCAGTTTATTGACTGTGTCTGGCAAATGACGAGACAGGTGAGAGGTTTCAAGTCCATTTCTGACCTTTATACCCTGATCCAAACATAATCTTAAAGTTGAAGACAAACTTTAATTTCATGTTCAAAGTGAAGATTGTGTGTATTAAATATGACCCCTTTTGTTATTTAACTCAGTTTGATTCTAATGACTTAGAAATATAAGTATAAAATTGGAAACAACCTACTTTATACCAAAAGGTGCTTTTGTTGTGCATATGGTTTTTTGTCGGTCATGCTGTCCAGCAGTTGCCCCTGCCCTCCGTCCTACTCTTTCTTTCACCTGCTTCCTCTGTCAGGGTGAGCAGATGCTGGAAGATTCCCAGGTGTTGGAAATGGGGATGTGACTGAACAAAGGGGCGGAGACCAGGGAATCCAAGGCCCTCCATACCCAGCCCCAGGCCATAGCCCCTCCCACCCCTCACTGTGGCGGGAAGGGAGTGTCCCAGGACCAGGGGCAGATGGGAGGCTGCCAAGTGTCCTGTCATTCATTACCCATGCAGGGGTCCCCTTTCCCCAAGCTACTCGGCCAGAAGACGTGTGCTGTTTCTTCCCTCATCTCCAACATCAGAACCCGAGCTTAGGATCTGATCCTCATCATAGGATGTGGTGCCAGAGAAATGGACCTGGAATCAGAGTCAGAGAGCGAGGCCAGTGCACCAAAGAGAGAGAAAGGAGGGAAACAGAAATAGAGGCAGAGATGTGGTGAGAGGAACTGAGGGGAAGGAGAGAGTAAGCAAAAGACAGAGCCCTCCCAAGTACCTGCTTGGATGGGATCATGGGGAAGGGAGGATGGTAAAGCATAGCCTGGGCTCTCGCCTTCCTGTTGAGCTGGAGGTCTGGCCTTGGCTGCTTTAGGCACGTGGAGAAGACTGTCTCCTAGCAAAGATGCGCTTGCTTGAGCCCCAGCCCTGGGGACCCTTCTTTGGGCCTGGGTGTGTGTGCTGCTTAAAAGTCCCCCAGGTGCTTCTGAGAGGACCAGTAACCCCGACAAGTGATTCCCGGTGCAGTCCTGAGGCCAGTAGCCTCAGCCTCCCGGGTACTGAGAGATGCAGGTTTTCAGGCCCTGCCCCAGACCTGTGACACTGGGTGGCAGGCAGCACTCTGTTTCAGAAGCCCACCAGGGATTCTGCTCAACTTTCATGGTGCACACAGATCCCTGGAAGTCTTACCAAAACACAGTTCTAATTTGTGGGTCCAAGGAAGAGCCTGAGACTCTGCATTTCCAACAAGCTCCCAGGCTGTGCTGCTAGAGTAGCAGGGATGACAAGAGAATGGCAATTCGAGAAAAACTGCGGTGGGTGGTGTTCTAAGCAGCCAAAGTAGATTTCACAGAGTCCTCGGGCCCTCCCTTAGAACAGCATACTGATGTTGATTGTTTTAAAACTAGCTTCCCCAAGCTGACTGGGCTCTTGTTATCTACGTGTCAGTTCCCAGCTGATTCCAAGCACCCAATTAGCTAGAGGGCTGGGGCATGGAAAGAGGGCTTGTCTCAGAGGTAGGCACCCGATGGTATGAGTAACAGGTAACGGCAAACACATACTCAAAAGGCATGGAGGCTGGCCTGAAATCTGACTATTTTGTAGTGCCATGTACTTGCTGTTTGTATTGATGCCAAGTCAGCAACAAAAGTAGATGATGGTTACATTCAGGTTAAGACTAGAAGGTATGAACTACATTTAGAAAAAGTACATAAAATGGTTGAACACAGAAGATAATTCTGATGTTTCTGAAGGGATCAACCCAAATTTTGTGAATGTGAAGTAGCTTATTCCTCCCAAAAGCCTAGACAAAGAGTGTGTGTGAGACATCCTCAAACTGACTTCCATTATTCATATTGCTTAGTACCTATTTTCATGTCTAATCTATATAATTTTTGTAATGTTTACTGGATTTTTAAGAAAATGAGGGGTTTGGGTTAGAAGATTTCAGATGCCTCTTAAGATTCCGCCCATGAAATTTGTATAATTAATTTCTTTTAAAATAACACTGTTAGAATGAGACACAAATTATCAGTCTAAAGTCACAAGTGATCTAAAGTGATCTAAAGTCAAGTGAATGAGGTATGCAGCTTGTTAGAAAAGTTGCATTAATGTGACAAGATTAACTTATTTTTAGGTTTCCTACTGCTAAATCAGCTATGTCAGTATAATGTTTTTAGACACCTCAGAATAAAATGAGCTAGTCTCTGTGCACAAACTAATATGAAAGGAATGGAGGGAAAAAGTAACTGAAGGACTATAGACAACAGTCTTGGAGAAGGCAATGGCACCCCACTCCAGTACTCTTGCCTGGAAAATCCCATGGACGGAGGAGCCTGGTAGGCTGCAGCCCATGGGGTCGCTAGGAGTCGGACACGACCGACCGAGCGATTTCACTTTCACTTTTTACTTTCACGCATTGGAGAAGGAAATGGCAACCCACTCCAGTGTTTGTGCCTGGAGAATCCCAGAGACAGGGGAGCCTGGTGGGCTGCCGTCTATGGGGTCACACAGAGTCAGACACGACTGAAGCGACTTAGCAGCAGCAGACAACAGTCTCAAAGACATTCTGCAATAACCCCAGTTGAACAGACTTTTTTACCCTTTTGGATCAGTTTAATCATTGTTGATGTTTTTGTCCTTCAAGAGGTGCAGAATTTCATTATGGATTTCTCTGGGGTTTTTGAGACCACACTTTTTAAAGTATATGGTATAGCTTCCAGAAGAGGCCAAAACAACGGTGAATCTTAGAGGCTTACTCTTTTGTTTGTTATCACTCTAGAGGTCGGTACTTCCACTGATGAAATGTTTCCCACCACTGTGCCCTTTGGAAGTGAAGAGCACTCCTGAGCGTTAGCTCAGATGTGGTGCTGAGTAGATGTGGGTGCTGAAGGGCATGGGCTGAACCCACCCACCCTGACCTCCCACACCTGCTCCCCACCCACTTGACCAGAGTAAGGCATGTGGTTGATGGCAACAGAACACCCTGAACCAAGTTCCCAGACCCAGATTGCGGGCTCAGGGTTAGGAATAAAGACTCATATGACTTAAAAAATATGTCAGTAGAAGCTCTGCTGTGCTATTGGTAAATGTATATTTTTAAATGTTTGAAAAGGAAATACAGGCCTTCCATTTTTATCCTTTATTTAATAAAGCTTCAGAATATACATAACTTATATTTTGCTTAAAATTCATAAATTTCTTGGTGCCAATAACTTAATAGAATATAACCAAGCTTCATGGAAAAATACTAGGAAGAATTAACACAATGTACTTGGCCTTTTAAAAGATAGCCATTTGGAATGTGAGGCCATTTATAGAGTTGCAAGGAGCAACCTTAAAGACTGAGACAGGATTAACCAGGAGCTATATTTAACATTTTGGCCTGATTTATTTGATTTAGTTCATCATTGATTTAGTTCCTCTAAGAACATTAGAACAATATCCATAGCTAGTTTCCAGAGGTTTCTAAAGAAGTGGTATTTTGATGGGGCTCCCTAGAAGAGAGTTGTGTGTTTCTCTGAGAGCAGTCCTTAATGTAGAAAGAGGCAAGTCTTAATATAGGGCAGCTGAGCAGAACTTCTGCTTGCCTCGTGAGGAAGATAACAATTTCTGATGGAGTCTGGACAGTCCTGTGTTGACCATTGTTTCTAATTGAGAAGCTTGTCTCTGGCCTAGTAAAGTACTAAAGATAAGCTTCAAAAATAAACTTTCTATCGGTGACCCTGGTTGTCATTCTACAGATGACATAATTAGTTGTGATAGTGTGCAAACATCTCTGATTAGGGAATAGATCTTTAAAGTACACTTGACACACAAAAATATGCTGGGTAGTTCTATATGGTTTTGTTCTAACTGGCCTTGTTTCATTGAATAGGTGATGAATATTTCAGTATGTTTTTAAATTAGAATTCTGGTACAAGGTCAGCTCCCAGTACATACCTATTGCTAGGACTGTTGTTACCATTTGCAGAGCATCTCCATCATGGCTCCTAAATGTCAGCTACTGGCTAGAACCTCTTGGCAATGGTCATTCTTTGCTGGAATTGTGCTAAGCCCCATGAAGAATAAGCTAAGATGGCAACTGAGAGGATCATGTGGTTTTCTTCTGTGTTCTGTTAGTATAGTGAAAGTGAAAGTCGCTCAGTTGTGTCCAACTCTTTGCGACCCCATTGACTTATTAGTCCATGGAATTCTCCAGGCCAGAATACTGCAGTGCGTAGCCTTTCCCTTCTCCAGGAAATCTTCCACACCCAGGGATTGAACCCAGGTCTCCCACTTTGCAGGTGGATTCTTTACCAACTGAGCCACAATATAGTAAATTACTATAATAGATTTTTTTAGTAACTTTGATCTTCAAATCTTAAATCAGCCTTGCATTCCTGAGACAAACCCCACTTGGTCATGTGGTGTTACCCCTTTTACATTATATACTGCCAAGACATTGTATTTCTTCTTGAATCGCTTCCCTGGGACCACCCCCACCTCCGACTTTCTTCACTCAGAATGTGCCCCCAAAAGGGAAGCTAGGACAACAGTAGGACTTCTCTCACTGGTTTCCATTCTGGGCCGGGGAGTCATCACAGTCCCATGGCCCTGCCAAGTGTCCCGCTCTCTAGTTGTTTCTGGCAGAAGGGTGAATGCAGGCTCTTCTGTCATCATGGCAAGAAATGGGAGCCCCATAAGCTTTCTTAGGCACGGAAAAGGCACACCAGTTTTTGTTGCTTCAGGTTGTTTCTCTGCCAGACCTATAAGTTTGAACTGGAAACTATAGCTAATTAAGTTCTACATGGGCCAGTTGTCCTTTTCATCCTTGACTATATTCCAAGTTGTGGCTTAGCAGCCTTTGACCAGTTTATTCTAGAATTTGAACTTCAAAACTAAACCTTATTTCTCTCTCCATTTAAGTTTCCTTCAGCATTCGAGTTTAATGAACTCTTCTTGATTACAATTTTGGATCACCTTTATAGTTGTCTCTTTGGGACTTTCTTGTGCAACTGTGAACAGCAACGACTCAAAGAGGTAAGTGTATTATATCCCCTGGCTTTCCTGACTGCTGGAGGGCCTTGTCCCTTACATGCCACTGTAGAAGGGGGGCTGAATGGAGAGAACACTGGGTCTCACCCTCTGTTGTTTGTAAATGGAGGGCTGGCACTAAATGCCCTCCCAGTATTCACCAGCCCCAGTGCATGTGTCTAATCTTCTAGCCCCTTCTCTTAAGGTAGCAAGCTCAACTTGCTTTCCTTCAAGCTTCTCCATTAGATTTACCTCTTCCTTTTCTCCTCACTTAGGGGTAAAAGACAGAGATGATCAAAAGTGAGGAAGCATTGGGAGAAGGCAGTTTCAAGAGTGTCCTCTGGTTCAGAGAAAAGGACTTCTGCCTGGTGGAATATTCGAAAACTTAGGAGAAAAGAGCAGGTCCCCAGTGCCCACCTACCCCTCTCTTAGCAGCCTCCCCATAGCTGACGACTCCCTCACCCCACACCCTCTGTGGTTCCCCCCTCCCTTGCTGGCCTTCCCCATCCAGCCTTTTCCCTTTTAATCCATCTCTAAACTTGGAGTCACCTGGACAGGCCCTGGTCCTCCTGTTCTCTGTCTAGGTGACTTCGTCCATCTCAGGGATCTAAATGCTGTTTACTGTTTCTCTCTCTTTTGCATCCCACTCAGTACCACCTCTGCCCATCCACCCCAGCTGCCACATACAGTCCCTCAGTGAGTGCTGGCAGCCCTGTCCCCAGGATGGATTTGTAATCTGGCCGCTTCTCACTGCTCCAAGCATGTTGAAGCCCCCCTACCCCCAGTCTTGCATCTGGACTAAGGCAGCTACCCAGAAATGAGCTTGGCTCCCTGCATTTCTGACCTCCACACTCAATCTAAACACAGCAACCAGATGGGCATTCCCCAACTTCAGTCCCATCACGTTCCTGGCCTCTGCCTGAAACCTCCCTGTGGCTTCTCACTGACGTCAGGATCAAATCCACATTCCTACAGGCCTAAAGGAATTTAAAAAGACTGAATTCAATGGCATGTGACTTATCTCAATAAAGCTGCTTTTAAAGAAAAAAATCAACAGAAGAGTATAGTTCATATGTCAAATTTAAACTCTTTTGGTCTTATCTTTTTTTAAATCAAAATGTACTCTCTAAAAAAATCACCTCTCTTGAGATATAATTTACATACCATACAATTAATCCCTTTAAAGTGGACCATTCAGTGGGTTTTAGTATATTCAGTGTGTAATCATCACCACCATCTAATTTCATAAAATTCTCATTCCCCCTCAAAAAGAAATCTCATACCTATTAGCAGACACTCCCCAGTCCCCCTACCCCCAGCCACCGCTAATCTACTTTCAGTCTCTGCGGATTCACCTCTTCTGGATATTTCATATAAATTGAATCATATGGTATTTGCCTTCCTGTGTCTGGCTTATTTCACTAAGCATGCTGTTCTCAAAGATCATAGATAATTAGCATATACCAGTGTCTCATCTCCTTTTTATGAGTGAATAATATTCCACTGTATGGAGAGAACATTTGTTTATCCAGTCATTAGCAGATAGACATTTGGGTTGTTTCTACTTTGGGTTCTTACAAATACTGCTGCTATGAATGTTTATGTTCAAGGTTCTGTGAAGACATATGCTTTTACTTCTGTTGGGTAGACACCCAGGAGCTCTATACTTTACCCTTTGAGGAACCACCAGACTGTTTTTCCAAAGTAGTTGCCACATTTTACATTTACCCTAAGCAATGTCTTAGGGTCCTGTTTTCACATCTATGTAGACACTTGTTACTGTTTATCTTTTTGATTCTAGCCATCCCAGTGGGTGTGAAGGAGTATTTCATCATGATTTTCATGTGTGTTTCTCTGATGACTAATGATACTGAGCATCTTTTCATGTGCTTACTGGCCATCTATATATGTCTGTGCACAAATGTTTCTTCAGATCCTTTGTCCATTTTTGAGTTATCTGTGAGGAGGTTGTAGCAACCCACTCCAGTATTCTTGCCTGGAGAATCCCTTCAACAGAGGAGCCTGGAGGGCTACAGTCCATGGGGTCACAAAGACTCAGACACAACTGAAGCAACTCAGCATGCACACATGTCTTTTTATTATTGAGTGAGAAGAGTTTCTTATGTGTCCTTTATATGTACAAGTCCCTTATCAGATACAGTTTGCAAATATTTCGTTCTATTCTGTGCAGTGTCATTTCATGGTTTTGGTAGTGTCATTTGAAACACACAAGTTTTTTATTTTGATGAAGTCTAACTTATCAAAGGTTTCATTGCCTAACCCCAAGGTCATGAAAATTTAAGCCTGTGTTTTCTTCCAAGCATTTTATAGTTGTAGCTTTTATGTTTAGGTATATAATCGATTTTGAGTTACTTTTTGTATGTGGCAGGAGGTAAGGGTTCATTTTTTTGCATGTGGTTATCCAGTTTGTTTGTTTGAATTGGAGGCTAATTACTTTACAATATTGTGGTGGTTTTTGCCATACATTCACATGAATCAATGGGTGTACATGTGTTCCCCATCCTGAACCCCTCCTCCCTCCCCATCCCACCCCTCAGGGTCATCCCAGTGCACCCTCCCTGAGCACCCTGTCTCATGCATCAAACCTTTATCCAGTTTTCTTAGCACTGTTTGTTGAAACAGTCTCCCATTGATTTTTCTTTGGAATCCTGTTGAAAATCAGTTGACCATAAATGTGACAGTTTGTCTCTGTACTCTCTATTTCATTGATGTCTATCCATCCTGTGCCAATATCACCTGTATTGATTACTGCAGCTTTGCAGTAAGTTTGGAAATTGGGAAGTGTGAGGTTTCCACATTTGTTCTTTTCTTCCAAGATTGTTTTGGCTATTTGGGGTTCCTTGAAATATTGCTGCTGTTTCTTATTAATAGAAAATATAAAATATGAAACAGTCCTAATTGAATCGCCTCTGTGTAGATAATGGGGAATAGTCAGCAGATTGGTGGAAAGCACTCCTGGCCTCACCATTTTCTCATTTTGACAATGTACTGTAAAATTTGGAGGTGGGGATCTATAATTTAATGATACATTCTCTATATAAGGCTTTACCCCCAGATAGGCATGACTTTCCAGTGAAAGAAATATTATATGTAAATTCTACCTAGGGTCCTTAATATTAAGGGTCACAAGAGCAAGCTGCAAAACAGAATAAAAAATATATTGTTAAATAGGGGCACCATTATCCTGCAATTGATAGAAAGTTCTCGTTCTGCCTTCACATAGTCACAGTCACCAGACGTCATCTCACTCAGCAGTATGTTTTTGAGACAGCCCCACCACTGGGTCATGCACACTGAGGGGTGGAGCTTAATAAATGTTCCCAATTTTTATCATTTGAACTCACTTCATTATTCAAGTCCTTTTCTCTACGTGATACAAGCTCTTGAGGATATGAAGGAAAGTTGAATTTTTTTTTCACTGTATTCCTTGTTTGGTTTTCAGGATGTATCTACAAAGACTGTATCTTTATGGTCATATATCAATAGCCAGCTGGATGAATTTTCTAATCCCTTCTTTGTGAATTATGAGAACCACGTCCTCTATCCTGTTGCTAGTCTGAGTCATTTGGAATTATGGGTAAACTATTACGTGCGATGGAATCCACGAATGAGGCCTCAGGTATGTTTTTCTCATTTTGAAAAAAGCGTATCTTTCTGCCCAAGGAAAGATGATGGTGTAGAATTCCACTCGCCTCCTCTTTCCTCAGGACGCTTTCCCTGCCCTTGGCTTCTCATCATGAGGGCAGGCAATGCCCTGAGAACCTTTTCTGCCCTTCCCCTGCACCCCCTCTGAGGGCCCAGCTTCTGTCATCACGCATGAGGCAAACGTCCAACATGGACATAGGGCCACTAGCTGCTACCCGCGCCTGGGCGATGAGGGCAGCCGGCATGTCCACACTGGCGCAGACACCCTGAGCACCACTGGGGCTGAAGCACATTTCTACCTACCAAACACCCAGCTCCTGGGTTGAATGTATGTTTTGAGTAGCAAACACACCAACTTTTATTAAGAGTTGTAAAATGCCCTTTTATTAAGAATATCTGAAACCAGGGAGATAGTCTCAGCCCTTTTCCCACAAAACCTAACAGTATAGTTAGACAACATCAGTGGTCAGTATTCTAAATACAGGTTTTCAATTTCTTGGCCAGCAAGCCATCAGTCTTATGCTCATGCCTGTGTGAAGAAGCACCCCTCTTACTAGTTCCACAGCATGTGGACACTTAACAGTTGGCCATGGCCTTCAAAAGACTGCCTCAGAAGCATGGTTCCCAAACCTGGCCCCTTCCTTCTGTGGGTGACACCCACACCTCATGCAACTCCCAACTCACGCAGACAAAGTCAGCACTGTGACAGTCCTGTAGTGGAGGGCCTCCAGGCTGGGCCCAGAGCAGGCTGGGGAGTGGGCCAGGCCTTGGTGATGTTGGAGGCCAGAGAGGTGCGCAGGTCCAGGCCTTTGGACTTGACCCTGGGGGTTGCAGGAAGCTCCCTCTAGCAGCGCAGTTCAGGAACAAGGAGGGTGGCCGTGGAGACCGGCACAGGGATCAGAAGGAAGGCTGGTGTCCAGTGAGGGGGTGGGGAGCCGGGCCAGACAGAGGGGAAGTGGCGGGGACAAGCCTCTTTGCTCTGAGGAGGAGGGCCCTGCAGACATCTTGTGTGTTTTCTCCATTGGGACCCTTTTGGCTTTCATCTCACACATGGCAGCACTGGGTGACTGGCTCCTAGATGGGCATTTTCTCTGCTTTATTGTAAATGAACACAGTGGATGAGAAAACAGAACAAAAGGCTGCATGGAGATATAAGAATGAGTGCGTCAGCCTGGGCAGGTGTGAAGCTGTGTGCTCACCCACGTGGTCTCCTCTCTCTGACCTCGATGGTGGGCAGTTAGTAATGGCCGCTTGATTGCAAAGCAAGTGGAATCAAGTCCCCCAACAGCAGGGACATATCAAGTAGGCCCAAGGCCAAGAGAGGAGATTTGCCCACCCCCCAGCGCCCTCTGGAATCAGCAACTAAGGCAACTTTCCTTGTTTGGGGGGGTCTCTGTCATCAGACTCCCACATTACCACCCCCACCCTCCTTCCGGGGGCCAATGTCAGGAGTTAGCTCTGAGCCTCTTCTGGGCTGCTTCCCAAGTACCCTACTGTGTTGGAGACACCTGGGCGCCTCCCCCACCGCACCTAGCCAAATCGCCTGTCCTTGTTGTCCCTGTCCCTCTGTCTCAAATCTCTCTCATGAACTCATGTCTCTGGTCACTCACTCTCAGTCTAATGTCTTTCTCATCTGTCCCCTGCTTGCCCTCTTCCTGCACCGGGGTGATCACTTCTCACATCCCTGATGGGACAGCGCCTACTCTCTGGGGAGGGCATGATGAAACACGCAGGCCCAGCAGGTGTGGGGTCTCCAAGAGGACCCCCTCCCAGGGCAAGTGCTCTTCCAGCCAGTCCCTACAGGATGAAGCCCAGCGTGTGAGTGAAAAGGGTCAGAGGAGAGAGGGCTCCAGGCAGAAGGGCCAGCGAATGCAAGGCATCTGCCAAAACCTGGGAGGTCCGAGAATGGATGAGGGGAGCAGGGGCAGGGCCCAGTGAGAGGTGAGCAGGGGAGGCAGGCTGGGGTCAGACCACACAAGGCCTTACCTTCAGGGCAGCAGGAAGAAGCCCCTGGAAGGTGTTCATGGCGTCTCAGGGCCTGGCTGAGCTCAGGACCCAGGCTGGTGGCTTCTGTGGAGATTGTGGACAGGAACCAAGGGGGAGCTACCCAAACTCCCACCCCGTGCCCCCTCAGCTGGTGACTCTGCCCGCCCCGGTCTGCTGAGATTCACAAGGGCTGTGGCAGGTGATGACGAGAGCTTGTGAGCTGAGTGCAGGAGAGCGTGGGGGGGCATGACCCCAAGCTTCAGGAGAGGAAGGCCCCTCTCATCCCTCTCTGGTCCAGGAGGGTGAGGCGGGGTGGGGGTTCTGGCGAGGCTGCCAGAGCTTCTGTGAACACGGACAAGGGGCCGGGGCCCGGGCCTTCTCTCAGCACCGCCCTCTCCAGGGCCTTCTGCCCGCGCCTGTTCTCGCTCATGAAGCTGAACACAGCTTCACGGTGGAGGGAGGCTTTTCAGTCAGCAGCGTGAGGTCCGTGCTGCCAAGTGGCAGCTGAGGCCCAGAGGGGATCACCCAGCCCTGGGCCCCTCCGGGGGTCTGGCTCCCCTGAGAGGGAGAATGGAGTCCCCACGCCTCAGCCAAGCCACAGCTCCCGGGGCCGCCACCTGGGCCCCTGGGCAGAGGTAGGGAGTGAGGGTCAGGAGGCCGGGGCTGGGCTGACCTGCATCTCCACCTGCAGACGCCCACCCACCAGAACCTCAAGGAGCTGCTGGCCGTCCGCGCAGAGCTGCAGAAGCGGGTGGAGGACCTGCAGCGGGAAGTGGCGGCGCGCGCCTCAGCCTCATCGGAGCGGGGCTCCTCACCATCACACTCGGTGACGCCCGTGCACACGTCAGTCTGACACCGCTGTCCCTGTGGCCCAGGCGGGGCTCCTGTGACATTCCTCATGAAGCCCTGTGCCCGCCTCGTCTGGGTGGCGCTTCCCACCAGTGACGGATATGTGCTAGGGGACAGCCCCCACTCTCATCAGTGCTGTTGTGTCATCAACACGTCTTTCCCTCCTGCCAGCACTTGCCCAGGGCCGCATGGGGGACCCTTGGGCAAGTAGAACGCAGGGTTCAGGCTCAAGGTGGGACATCCTTGTGAAAAACCAACCCACCCCCTTTTAAAGGCTGCGTTGCCAGCCCCAGGGCCTCTTTCAGCTCTTAGCTCCAAGCCCTGGGGCCTGACAGTTAACTCTTGGCTGGGGAAGACAGACCATCACCATCTCCCCATGCCAGCGGTCCTGCTGCACCAGTTACCAGTGTGTACATATAAGGTATTTTTTAAAAAGAGAAACATACCTTTATTTTCCTATGTCCTTTTTTTTTTTTTTAATGTTTAGTCACCCAAGGAGACACCTGCTTGACTGAACTGGGTGAGCAACGGTCAAGCTGAGCTCATGCAAACTCTGACGTGGTACATTTGAATGTGGTCACCTCAGACCATGTGTTCTGTCCTCCCGTGACTGTGGGACCTGCCTCCCAAGGCAGCCCAGTCACCTGTCCCCTGCCCCTTGCTACTGTTGACAGCTGACTGTCAAAGCGGGTCTTCTCTCACCTGTTACCTGCTGTCTGAAGTAATAGTTCTCGTTTCATCAAGATCCCTTCAAACTCAGTTTATTCTTGTCACTGCATTTTGGTACTTTAAAGCCACCACGGCACTGTGACTTTGGATGCCAAAAGCAGAGCGCTCACCTCCCTCGGTTTCCTGGTCTCAGAGCCTCTTGGGCCTTTTCCTGCCCATCTCACAGCTTCTGTCTCTGGGCTCCAGGACTCCATGAGTCTGGGCAGGCATTCATTGGCCATCAGCTGCTCCATCCACTAGCACTAGAGCTCTGAACTGCTCTGGGTAGCGAGTCAGAGTTTTGCACATTTGCACTCTTCCCTCCTCCTCCTCATGCCCAGCACTGCGCCCATGCTTGCCAGACCCCAAGACCCCATCCTCCTGGAGGAATTAAGCTTGCCTTTGAGTGGAGGAGAGCTCACCAGGTGAGACCTGAGTGCAACTTCATGGTAGTATCTGGTTGGTTTCAAATTACTGGATGCTACCCAAAGCCCTCCATATTGACCTTAGTTTTGAAAACATTCTTAAAAGTTTTTTTACACTTAAATACTTAAGAGAATAGATGTTTTTCAACTTGGAACCTTCTGATTCTTATAGAAAATTATCTGGTATCTGTAAGGTATCATATTTATTCTAGGTAATTTGATAACCTAAAAAAAATTCTCCATTTTTACCATCTGGGGGATTTGTTTCTAAACTGCATTTTAATTGATGTAACTTGAATCCTGCTTCCAGAATAGCTAAAAGCTTATTTATGAATGGGTAAGCTGGATTATTCATTGATATGTGGATTTCTTAAAAACAGGGGCCCATTTTTATCCTTGGGCATATCTATACATAATCCCCCTGCTGCACTAAGACCACTAACCTTGTTGTGGACTGGATGATGTTTTTGAGAACCAGAGAAGTCAAGGTCAGCTAGCCTGCTGCGGGGATTGCACCTGCAGGGAGCTGCCCCACTCCACCCCTCCCCCCTTCCACGTGCTGGGCCCTAGGAGGACCCCTAGATGCTCCAATTTGGTTTCAAAGCAGCATAATAGATCATTTCCTTTGTGTCTTCCTAGCACAGAACTGTTTCTAAAACAACTTGAAGTATAGTTTTGTTACGTAAGCAATTCTTGCTCAGTTTTATTTAAGTGTACTAGAATGTAAAACCTTTATGGTTCAGATTTTTAAAGACTGGTACAGTATGATATTTGCCTCATCTGATGCACTGTATTTCAATCTGTAATTAAAATAATGTTTGCTCTGTGGTCTCATTTTTTTGTTGTCTTTAAGTATTTTTGGTAATTTTCCCCTTGTGGAAAATAAGTAAACATTCGTGTCCAAGTCTTTGCGACCCCATGGACTGTAGCCCACCAGGCTCCAATGTCCATGGGGATTCTCCAGGTAAGAACATGGGAGGGAGTTGCCATTCCCTTCTTCATTGGATCTTCCCGACCCAGAGATCAAACCTGGGTCTCCTGCATTGGCAGGCAGATTCTTTACCATCTGAGCCACCAGGAAAGCCCACTTTACTTACACAAAAATTTATTATGTGTCAAACACAGTCAATACATGTAAAGTACTCTTACATGATTTAATTCATTTTCTAAGTGGTAAACGCAATTCATCCTAAGACTTGAGTGGGTTGGCTGAAATGGGTAACTAACTACTCTAAAATTGGCAATGCCTTAAGAAAACACTCAAGATGTGAGGACAGGGCTGGAGCCCCCTGAGAGGCAGGTGTGGCCCTGAGGCGGCCAGGCAAGCTTTCCAGGCCATGAGTCCTAGAGCTTAAATGGGACAGACTTCTGAGGAGCCACAGGGTGCCCACCCAGAGTCTTCAGAGAGAGTGCTGGCCTTTATGGGAGCTATAAAGGCCTGGATGAAACCATGCTGGCCCCTGCGTATAAGGCCCTTCTTCTAAGGCCTAATGTCCCTGTCCTTCTCCACGCAGGTGTGGGGGCCCCAGCAGCAACACTGAGCAGCAAGGCTGGGAAGGCCACAACTTCTGCACGGGAGAGTCACATGGGGGTTTGGGTTAGAGGACTTGGTGCTATTTTACTACAAGGTTGGTATGGCACAAAAATGCCATCACACTGTGAGACCCAGCCAGCGGCCCCCACATCTTCCTCATGGAGTGACAAGGGCAGCTCCACCTCCAGCGAGCACTCTGCCTGCACACCCTGGCCCTGTTCTACTTTCTGTGGCTCAATCACATGTCACCTGAGTGGACCCTGGCTACTGGCTTTCTTTGAAGAAGACAAAGCTGTGGGCGCAGGAGCCGTGAGTCGGAGGCCTGCCTCTGCGCCTCCCTACCCCCATGACATCTCCAGGCCTTAGCTCCCCGTCATGCAGGGGACCACCCCAGGAAGGCTGACACTACGCTGCTCAGCACGAGGGGAAGTGCCAGAACCCCGACCCTCTTGAGAAAGGCCTTTGGCTCCATAATAATGAAGTAGGAAAACCAGCATCACTTAACAAAGGGAGTGCCTTCACACCGGCAGAACCAGGGATTGGTTAGGTTCCACTTTGTTTAATGCAAACACGAGAGAGCTTACAATTTATACTCAAACACAAGCACAGAAAAAAGTATAGGGGATCCTGCCATCGGTCTCCACCACTTCTTTCTCAGAGAACTGTGACTAACCCCCAAGCAGCCAAGGCAGTGGGCCTGGTACCACTCTCTGGGTGACAGGGTGCCCTGCCTCCATCCTTCAGGAGCTCAGAGTTGTTATAAACACTGAGTCCCCCACCTCGCCCCCAGTTAAGCTGATAGCAATTAGATATGGTCAGCTGACCATTCTAGCATACTTGCTACCTCCGTTACCACCTGGGATGGGCCCAAGCCAGTCAATACAGCTTCCAGGTGGACACAGCTATGAGAGCCCCCAAGAATCAGCAAGCATCAGTGCCCTGTCCTGGGCCCCAGGATGGGAGCTCTGCAAATGGGTGGCTGAGTGACTCAATGTCCCAGTCACCAGCACAGAGCTGGGTGCTGGGCTCCAGGCTCAATGCAGAGGGCACTGAGACAGACAAGGAAGGGCACGATGGGTCTCTCAACCCAAGTCAGTGGTACCGAGCAAACAGATCCACAGAGAGCGCTGACTCTGTTATCACCAACAGGATTTCAGGGTCTTCACCAGAAGATGTGCCTTGCTGCAGAGCCAAGGTGGCCCACCAGGAGCGCTGCACCTGGAAACACCTAGGATGCCACAGGCCACATGGCTCCCTTCCTAGTCACCACTGTGACTGTGACTTCTCTATAAATGTCCAAACTTCCCAGTGGCAGGGAGAGCCTCTTACCACGAACAAGTGCTGCCTTGTGTCTTTCTCTGAAATGCCTGCAAACGGTGGTGAGCAGCCCTACTAACTTGATGAGTGCTGCCCTGATCCCTCCCGACTCTGGGGCCCTGATGTCACCCTCTTTAGGTGACAGCAGGCTACCAATGCAAAAGTCCTTCAGAGTGGCCTCTGGCCCAGCACCGGTCAGGGCTGGGGACATCAGTCCATGAGGGCAGGCCAGGGAGGTGCTGGAAACAGGCTGAGCTCACCAGCACTGCTTCCGCAGCTCACTTCCTGCCGTCTTCTCAATGCTCCTCACCCCTGGCTACACGCAATCTGGCCGGCCTGGCATGAGCCTCCAGACAGGGGTGATGCGGGGCCCATGACACGCTCTCCATAACATGAGCACACGAGGGAAGAAACGTGGTCTGACCTGCAAGGTATGTTCTGATGTCAACTGTCTCCCTAAGAAGTCAGAGTTGCCTTGTCCCAATCTGGTGGATGCGAAAGAGCTGACATACAGCCGTCCTGTAGCATGTGAAGCAGACTCACATGAGGCTTCCAGAAGTGCTTTCTGACACTGCAAACTCATCCATAGAACGGGGGGCTCTAGACTCTAGCTCAGCCCCTGACAGCAGTGTCCAGGGGGAATCAGGATCACACGTGGCCCAGACGAAAAGTTCCAGGAAGACAGCCTGGCTCCAGCCCACCGCAGACAGCACCCTCCGATCTGGGTGCCCCCAGGCCCCCAAGCAATCTCCATCACAGGTGGGCCAGCAGATGACCAGAGTGTGCCCAGGTCACATGAGTGCTCACACCAAGACCACGCCCATTCCCCTCCTCCCACAGACATCTTCAGGCAGACAATGGGCATGTTTCAGGCTCTGACACTCATTCTGCTATGTGTGGCTCCTGCTACCAAAATAAGAACACACATGGGAGCAGGGTGGGGAACCCTCCGCAGCCCCAGTACAAAACTCAATGCCGCAGCATAAGTGATTCCTGAAACTAATCACGTCAGACTGGAGACCACGTCCATGCCCTGGCATCATAGGGGAATTGGGCCTGAGAGCCACAGCTTCCTACACATACATCCAGGAGATTCCTACATATCCAGGCGGGGATACTGTGACATGCAAGTTTGCACTTAAGTAAATGAAAAGTCAGACAGCCCAGCAGCATAAGGGATGGAAATAAAAACACCCCTGGGTGTGGTGTTTGTGTGCCCACAGTTTCCTGGTGCTCACCAGTGCACTCCTCGCGGCCAGGCCCCTGCCCACAGCCTTTCCAGAAACCCGGTGCAGCGTGGAGGGGACCACAGGGCCCGGGTTCACACTCCTGCCCATCGTCTGGCCCTCCCTCTGCTCAGTCTCCCCTTCCCCAGCTTGATAAGGCCTGGGGGGGGCAGGGTGACCCAGGGAGGCATCGACCTTGGGCACCCGAGGCTGGCCCTGGCTTTCAGCGGGGCCAGCCTAGGATTTGGGCAGCAAGCCTCTTGGGGGGCCCGGTGGCTGGGTGGGCACACGAGCCAGACTCACAAACACCCAGAGCTACGTCTGGGAAACTGAGGACGACAAGAAGCCAATGACATCGAAGGAGCGGTGTGGCAGCCGTGGGTCCAGACGAAATAAGGAGCTGGGTCTCCGGCGGTGGCCCCATGTGCCCACGGCCTGCCCAGCAGAGCGGGGCCTTGCATCCTCGGCTCCTCAGATCCGGGGTGGCTCAGGGGGCGGCGGCTCCGCGGACTGCGTCTGCAGGGCCGAGTATTTCACTAGGGACACGAGATGCCCGTCAGGAGGAAGTCACATGAAGACAGAGAGACAACCACATCCTTCCCTGGGCACAGAAACCCGGCTCTCTGCCTGCCTGTCCTGGATGATTGGCCTCTGGCAGCTGCTGTGCCCCCAGAGAGAAGGAAGGAGCAGAGGGACCCTGTGACCACCTGGGCCTCCATTTCCTCACCTGTAAACTGGGAATATGCAGGAGACCTGGGTTCGATTCCTGGGTCGGGAAGATCCCCTGGAGAAGGGAATGGCTACCCACTCCGGTATTGTTGCCTGGAGAAACCCATGGACAGAGGAGCCTGGCAGGCTACAGTCCATGGGGCCACAAGAGTCAGACACAACTTAGTGACTAAACCACCACCCACCCAAACTGGGAATGGTTCTACTCGAGCAGCTGGGACGAGTTTCTTGCTTTTTTTTTTTTTTTTTTGCAGGATCTTAGTTCCCTAACCAGGGATTGAACTTGGGCCCTCAGCAGTGAAAGCACAGAGTCCTAACCACTGGACAGCTGTGGAACTCCAACGGAGGAATCTTTTAAAGAACTTTTTTTGATGTTCTTTACTGAATCTATTCCAACATTGCTTCTGTTCTATATTCTTTTTATTGGCCTCGAGGCACAAGGGATCTTATTTCCCCGACCAGGGATCGAACCTGCACCCCTTCCATTGGAAGTACAGAGTCTCAACCACTGAACCCCCAGGGAAGTCCCTGGGAGGAGTATTTTAAATAAAGCATGTAACACAGCACCTGGTACATGGCGATACTCACACGATGGTGGCCGAGTTTAAAAGAACGACTACAGTGACTGCTACTGTGGAGTCCATCTTCCTGTGTTTGAAATTCTGGGCTATTACATCCAGACAGTGCAGCGCTGCCACAGACCATTCTAAGCCGCCACATGGAGCCCTGCCCATCACATCCCCGGGGGCGCCCCTGCCCCCGCCAAGCAGCCACCTTGGCACCCATCCCAGGACAGGCACACCCCAGCTCCTGTCTTTCACGCCCACCCTGGCCTGCAAGCCCCTGGGCCTTAGGTGATGGAAAGCAGCCTGCCCCCTTCTCCACAAAGCCTTTCCTGACTGCCTTGCTGGCATTCTGGGGCCACGGGTTGCATCTGCCTTGAGTGGTTGGGCACCCTGGGCCAGAAGCCTGATGCCACACAGCTTGTCATGGCTGTCGTTCCCATACCCAGAAAGTGCTTGATGAACACAGAACAGGGTGGGGAGGGCAGGGGCTCCCATTATTGGGGTCTGTGTTTTTTACAAGTTCTTTCTTGCCTTTGGCAGTTTTCAAATGGAAAGGGCCTGGGACTCCGTCTAGAGATTCCCCACAAGCTTCTGTGGGCATTTGGCTGCGAGTGTGTGTGTTTTCACTCACAGCGTGCCCCTTGGTGTGCAGACGGCCCTGACTGTGGTCCCGGCGTGCCCAGTGTCAGGAGGCTGGAGTCTGGCTGGGGAGAGCAGAGTGCTGGGCCCCTGACTTCTGCAGCCCATCTTTCTGGCTGGAAGTTTTAGGAATGGAGACCTCTGAGCCCCTGCTTTCCCAGCATAGCTCTGCTCAGTGCTGGCCCAGCCATTAGGAGGCCTTCAGCAACGGAAAGTGACTAGGAAGTCCTCACCTTGGGGCTCCTCACATACGACGGCCTCCAGGTTCTCCCCCTTCACGTAGTCCGCGTTGAGACCCTCTGCAAAAGGCCAAGGGTGGAGTTTGTGATTGACACAGAAGCAAGGGGCCCTGGCTATGATGGACAACTCCTGACCAAGCCCTCCATTATGGTGAAAAAGCCCAAACCCCTTAATGAACTCAGACTCCCGAACCCTGGGCCACCCAAACGTGCTGTCCTGCTCAGGGGTTCTCAGCTGGATGGGCTCCTGCAGACAGTGGGAAGAAGTCTGTCCCTGCTGCAGTGTGGAGGGTCAGGACCCACTGACAGCTGCTCTGGTCTAGTCACTTTGGGGGCTTTCTCCTCACTTACATCCAAACAGTTTGGGGACTCTATGGAGCTGAGTACACCCCATGTCTTTTTCTGCTGCTGCTGCTTGGGGAGACTCAAGAGTCCATGTCTTATCCCCAGAAACCTCATCAGAGCCCTGGGCCTGTGGGAAAATCAGGCATGGTTCTCACGAACCCACTGAGCAGGCGCCAGTGCAAGTCACTCCACTATCCTGGGCTGCACTCAGGTTCCTGCCTGCCCTGGGCTCAAGATGGATACTGGGCGGACCCAGGAAAGATGGACATGTGGCTAGTTAGCAGATGTGGTCAGCACTCACTTGGGCCGGCAAGGCTGATGGATGAGCAGGCACATGGAGGGGCACCCTGGGCCTCCCGACCGGGTGTTCAGATGCCAAGCTGGCACGTGCCACACTGTCTTCTGCCCACGGGCAGCCCTCTGGTTGCTCCCCAGGGATGACCGCCGGTGGGCATCTAAGTCCTGGAGAGGGCCTCCACCCCCGCCCCAGCATCTCTGAGACACAGCCACGCCCAAATGCCCACATGTGTCAGGGAAGAGTAAAGATGGTTTTGAGTGTCAGGGAACGGGATGGGGTAGAGCGAGGCAATGAGACAAGAGCAGCATGGAGGGGAGGGAGGAGGGGAGGTGGGTGATGAAGGGCAGATGCCAAAGCAGAAGGGGACAATGAGTAAGTCAGAGCACGTCATTACCTTGACCTTCTGCTGCATCTGAAGGCAAGACACAAAACTTAGGACCCTGGAGCAAAAACTCAGCCCCTGGCAACAAGCCAGGTGGACTTTCCGCGCAACACACTGACCCTTGGCACTGGAGGGCAGAGACAGGGGAAGCAGAGGGTCCCCAAGGCCGGGACCTGTTTGGTGGCAGGAGAGACTGCAAGGCCCCAAGCACCATGGCAGGGTCAGGCCCTCCTAGCAGTCGTGTGCTGTCCCCTGGGGCATCCCCGTGCGCCGGGTGCAGAGTGGTTTCTGCTTGGCCTTCCCCAACTTACTTCCCTGTGTGAGTGGCTAAGGCTTAACAGAAAGGGTGGGGATGAGAGATGCTGAGTCCTGGCTTCTCAGGGGATTGACCCCCCCACACACATCCACAGGGCTCCTCCTGATGCTACCCCAACACAGAGGCCAGGGACACTTCGGTGGATGAAACACACACACAGGCACCCACGGGTGCAGACAGTTCAGAGTGATGGGATGGGGTGGTTGTGACACAGAAACCAGCAAGCCTCCATCCCGCGCCATGGGCTGCACAGTGGATCAGCAGAGGGCGCTGTGGCAGCAGGCAAGACAGACATCCTCTCACAGACTGGAGGGCAGGAAGGCGGCCTGGGAGGGTGTCCCAGGCCCAAAGGATGAAAGCTGCTAGGGGAGGAGAGGGCACGTCGGACAGGGTGCTGGAGAGAGCAGCGCATCCTCAGGGAAGTCAGTGCGGCTTCTGGGGACACGGACCACAGGCAGGGAGCAGAAGGGACGTGGATGGAACCAAACCATGAAGGGCTTTGAACGGCAAGCTCAGGGGCTGGGTCAGAAGCACACGGGAGGTCCAGGGGGAGCAGTCCCTGCACACTCAAAACAGGGCCTGCGGGCTGTTCAGAGCAGAGAGGAGTGGCGGGGAGCCCGGGGTGCTGATGGAACTGTCCAGATGTAGGACAAGGAGATTTGGCAATGGAGCACAGCACAAGCCCCAGGAACGGGGACCCCTCTGATGTCACTTCGAGGGGATGGAAGGACCCAGGAGGGCTGGAGGGATTCATAAGGGGAGGCCATGGACACAGGAGCAGATGCAACTTCCAGCTTTGGAAGAAGATGTTGCTAGCACAGGGGACAGACACAAAAGCAAGAGGGGGCCTTTTTCAGATGTGGGGGATGCTCTGAACTCGGTTTCCTTCGAAGGAAACCGGGGCTGATGATGGTAGTCGCAGGACAGTGTGGGTTCAGCCACGACAATGACATCACTGACAGACTGAAGGGAAAGGACTGGGGGGCCCGCCCTCAGATGGAGTTGGGGGCTGGGAGAGGTCCACAGGTTCCGTGAGCTTCCTGGGAGCCCCTGTCAGCCCTCCGAGCATGCTGGCTTCCCTGGGCCAGGCCCCCCCAGCACATGGCCCAGCAACACCTTAACCCCTAGAGCCCCCCCAACCCAGAGAGAGGTCACATCCACGTCCTGCCACCTCAGTATCACAGGTTTATTGTCCCCCAAATGCTGTACAATTCACTGAATTCTGTGTACCAAAGCCTTCATATTCTCAAATTTTATTGGGCTTTGACTGCTAATTCAACTGGCAGAAACTTGCACCTCTTTGTTTTAGGAAACAAGTGGGAAAATAATGTACTTTCACCTGAGTGCCTCTGCAGAGACAGACACAATCCAGACATCTATTCAGTTTGGAAATCAACCTCTCTCATCCTCCCTGTTCCTACCTACCAGCACTCTTTCCTTCTGGATTTATCCCTTCCCATGTGCACTGAGTTCCTTCAACAGTCCCCTCAGCCACTGTCTCGTCTATAAACTGAAGGTACCCGCCATGATGCCCCATCAGGAGGTGGTGGTGCTTGAGGCAATGATCTGGGCCAAGCAGGGTCAGGCACTGGAGAGCGTGGGAAGCCATTTTTACTCTGACTGCAGGCCCAGCTTTTACTTCTTCTCTTATCCAACATGCAATTTCAAGTCTCCAAGCCACCCCGTGGCCCCTGAGCTATCTGGCCCAATTCTGCTGTGGGCATGTCTTTGATTAACCATGGAATGCACTCATCTCACTGTTATAGTTACAATGCTGAACTGGGGTAAATGGTGGCCCCCAAAGCCTCTGTCCATGTCTTCATCCCTGGAACCTGTGGATGTGACCTTATTTGGGAAAAGGGTCTTTGCAGATGTGACTAAGTTAAAGGATCTCAAGACGCGATCACCCTGAATTTAGGGTGGGGCCCACAGCCAATGACGAGTACCCTTTTAAGAGACAGAAGATGACACAGTCACAGAGATTGGAGTGATATGACCATAAGCCAAGGGACACTTGGGGTTACCAAAAGCTGGGAGAGGAAGAAAGGATCCTCCCCTACAGCCTTCAGACAGAACCAGTGCTGCTGCCACCTTAATCTTGAACTTCTGACCTCCAGACCATGAGACAATAGGTTTCTTGTTTTAAGCTGCTTGTTTGCTTTTGAGCTGGGACAAGTGATAGCTCTTAGGCCAACCCCACCTGCAGTTCTGTACTCCTTCTGACTGCTCACACCACTCTGCACAACCAAGCTCTGGAGCTATAGCAGGGCAGCCATGAACAGCTGTGCAGGTTGTGCACTGAGACATGTGCTGTCCCTGGGGTACTCCTGTGCACAGCCTGTGGAGCTGTATGCCATGGCCCCGGTCACGGACATTGTATAAGAGTAGAAGCACCAAACGTCATGGCCAGAAGGAAAATCAGGCTGGAGATATCTGCAATAGCTACACGAAAAGCATTTTAGGACCTAAGTCCATTTCCTGGGAAGCTCAGCTCCAGGCTAGAATTAAGGGCAGAGGCCCAGAGCAAGGGCGGGGGAAACCTCACGGGAGATGGTCCTAAGCCGCAGAAAAGAGGAAAACTATGGCTGAGTCAGGTTCCCTTACTTGAACTAAAGATTTCCCATCTTCAACCAGAGACACGCTCTGCACACAGCAATACATCAACATCGTGCTTGTAAAATAACTGAGTGTGGTCTTGTTTGCCTTCAATGGCATCCCTGTGTACAGGGCGCCTGTAGGTGGGCTTCTGACACAGATTCCATCTGTAACTATCCCATTCACACACCATGGACAGACTCACCACTACAACCGGGAATAACAGCCACCAATATGACAAAACTCTTCCTCTTGCATTCCTGTTCCTGTCAAACAATTCAGGATTCCATGTATTTTAAGATTCTGGGGCTCACGGGGGAGGAGCAGGGGCACCCAGGCAGCAGCCAGCAGCTCCTTGGGATCCAAGAGGGAGAGAAGGGTCGCCAGGGTGAGGAGTGGGCTGGCCGGCCCAACAGTGTTACCTGCTGGAACTCAGAGGTCTGGGGGACACCTGCCTTCTGTCACCAAAGGCCCCACATCCCCTTGGGCGAGATCCAAAGCCACATGGAAATCCAGACGCTCTTTCCTGTTCTACGAGAAGCTCGGTGGTCACCCTTGGAAGACCAAGGTCACTAGGCCCACCACAATCCTCTCTTCCAGGCTGGTTTATACTTCAGTTAGGCCTAGGTCTGTCCCCGAGGGCTTTAAAAAGTGTAGCCCCACCTCCCCCTCACCCCAGGGAAGTCTGCTGAATCTCAGCTTGCTCAGAGTTCTGCCCTCTCCTCCTCCAAAGCCCCGGCCCTCTGTTCATCTTCTGCTGTGGATGGGCATGGCCACAGGTGGGTCCACTTACGCTGTATGCTGAAGCAGAACTTCTTCTGCTGGTAGGAGATGTAACTGGACACAGCACCGATCAGCGCCATGGCCAGAGCACTGGCCACGCCGGCGATTGTGCCAGTCTCTGCCGACATTCCTGGGCATAGGGTGGGGGGGGGAGGCACGGAGAGAGGTGGCCGTCAAAGGAAGGTCGAGAAGGCCAGCCCTGAGACCCAAGCAGCCAGCAGTGTCCCCTTGTGGTTTCCACAGAAACCTCAGGACTCCCAACTCACCAGAGTCAGAGTTGTCCCCACCACCATACTGGCCACCACCTGCATAAAGGACAAAAGCAGTCAGTGTCTGTTGTGACCACCAGCTCAGGGTCAGGAGTGAGACAGCCCCTTCCTGACTCTCTGAGACCCCTCTTCATCTCTGCCCCAGGGGGCTTCGCCCTGACTACAGCAAGACCTGCTTCCTTATGCCTGCCACCTGCCCAAGCCGAGGGGGAACTTTTTATTTTTGAAACAACAGTGACCGTGCACTGAGAACATGTAGTATCCTGGCTCTTTACACGCAGAACTGCCATATACCGGGGCAAGTGCCCCCTGCAACCATCCACAGCACCCCACGGAGTGAAGGTGCGTAGGTGAGGGACCTGCCAGCAGGTGGCAGAGCTGAGCTCACGCCAGGCAAGCCTGGCTCTAAATGCCAACACTGTGGGTTCTGTGCACCTCCTGCCTCCTGTAACATCTTACTGTTTATCTAATTACAGAACCACGGTTATGTAAAAGTTTGTTTTAAAAAAGAATGAAAGACTAGTATAAAAACAATTCATCATCCTACTATTCAAAGAGATTTATGGTTAATATTTCTATTTCCTTTCCTCTTGTGCTTAGCCCTTTTACATGCTTTTCTTCAAATTCAGATGCTTCTACTCCAGTAACTTAGGTACACAGGATTACGTGATAATCAAGAGCTTTTTAAGGCCATCTACTTCTAGCTTGGCATATAGTGTGAGTTGTTTGTGGAACACAAAGCAATGCAAGCTGACAATCCCTTATCTAGGATTTTGAAATTCAAAAAGCTCTGAAATATCACAGAGATGGAGAACAGATTAGTGGTTGACAGGGGTTAGGGAGGGTGAAGAGGGAGGCAGTTGGCTGTGATTAAAAAGGGAAAACAAGAAGGATCTTTGCAGTGACAGCACTGTTCTCTTGATTGCAGTGGTGGTCACACAAACTTAAACGTGGTTGAATTTCAGAGAACATACACACACACCAGCATACATACAGCCCAGACAGCAGCTCCCTGACAAGCAAGGGATGCCATTTAGGACATTTAATTAGCCCTGAGCACTCTTTCCTGGGTGCTCTCTTCATCTCAGGACACAAGCTCATTAATGAAGGGAGACTACTCCCAGAGCCCAGGGTTCTTGGGAGAAACCCCTCTCGGATGCTGGAGGCAATGACCTTTGACATTTCCTTCACCAATCAAAGACTCTGGGTGGGGGGCTGTAGGTTCACGAATTGTAACAAATGTACCCCCTGTTCGGGATGTTGCTAATGGAGAGACTGTGGGTGTATGGGGGGTATGGGAATTCTGTACAATGTGTTCAGTTTTGCTGTGAAACTGCTCTAAAAAATGAAGTCTATTTTAAAAATAAGAGTCTTGAGGGAGAAAATGAGATTTGCTATGTCCCCACCTGGGGCTGAATCCTTGAGTTAAATGTGTTTTATAGACATCCCTGATTGGATATGAATGAGTATTTACAAAATAAGGAGCACTAGCATTTTCAAAAACACTATCACTGCTGTTGGAGAAAGCAGACCAAAGAGCAGGACATGAGTCACCCTGTATGTTAACAAGTCAGCAATGAAGTTGCCTGTGAGGGCTTGGAGTCTGGCTGCACTGGCCCATCACTGCTCCCTCCTGCTGTGCCCGAGGTGGCCATCATCAAGGGCAGTGGTGAGCCCCCACACGGGTGTCCTCTGCTGATGTGTTCACATCACTAGATTTCCAGGTGAAAAGTGAAAGTGAAATCGCTCAGTCATGTCCAACTCTTTGCAACCCAGTGGACTATAGCCTGCCAGACTACTCCATCCATGGGATTCTCCAGGCAAGAATACTGGAGTGGGTTGCCATTTCCTTCTCCAGGGGATCTTCCCGGCCCAGGGATCAAACCCAGGTCTCCTGCATTGCAGGCAGACGCTTTACCCTCTGAGCCATCAGGGAAGCCCAGGAATGAGCGATTCTACCCACTCTTTCTTTCACCTTGAACTGGAATAAAGCTGAGTGTTCCCCAGTCTCTCTTTCATTATTAATTCTTGATCATAAGAATCCACAACAACTTGAACTTCATGACCTGTATGGCCATGAGCTATGAGGGTGTTACTTGAAAAGAAAACTGGAGGCTCCCTGCCGAACCTGCCTAGAGGGGCATGCAGAGGGAATATGGGGCTTCCCTTGGCTGTCAAAGAGATGCAAACGCTCAATTCTGTGGCTGTCCAAAGAGATGCAAATGCTCAATTCTGTAGTCTAGGAATTCCTATCTGACCACCAGTTATTGGACAAAAGCGTTCATCTAAGAAGATGACAAACAAACGGTATTCCCTTCTAAAAAACAAAACACATGTGATCATGTGATTGCACCCTGTGGGTGACCCATTGCTCAGATGGGCACATGGGCTGAGATACTGTGAGGGTAAAGAACAACTGAAAAACAAAACCGTAGTCATTCTAGATCCTTCCACCACTTCCAGTTCCATGAATCTGAAGTGAAGTTGGCCACAAGGGTTTGCCATTGAAATTAGCCAAGCCAATGTCATGGTTTTGATTCCTGTTTGACTACTGAGCTCTGTTTACTTCCTCTGAGCACAAGCTGAATCCACTACCTTTACAAAAGGCATACCATGCAAAAAATGCTATTGGGACAACTGATGACCCACTGGCATAACAGATTTATCCAAACCAATACCACCCATAAGTTTCCAATAAATATAAAATAGATGAAGCAATAAAAGCACTAGAAGAAAATGTGCAATGTTTATATTGTTCTCAGGGTAGGGAATGACTTTCTAAACCTGGCCCTCAAGCTAGGAGCCTGAAATAGAAAAGATCATACCAAAAGTAAAAACTTTACTATTAAAAGCACAAGAAACAAAAGGCAGAAATGGCTAAACTTCAAAATCAACAACCTTTGTGCTTCATAACATATCATCAAGAAAGGGAAAGACAATCCATGGAATGGAAGAAAAAATGGCAAATTCTATATCTGATAAGGGATGAATGTTGAGAATAAAGAAATTCTACAACTCAGTAAAAAGGCAAAGAATTCTGTTTTAAAATGGACAAAGAATATGAAGACATTTCTCCAGAGAGATATTCAAATGTACAAAAACACAAGAAAGATTCTCAGCACCATTAGCTACCAGGGAAATGCAATCAAACCCACGGTGAGATACCACTTCACACACATTAGGATGGCTAGAATCTAAAAAAGGTAAATAAGTGTTAGTAAGGATGTGAAGAAAATGGATCTTTCATATAGTGCTGATGGGAATGTAATATGGTACAGCTGCTGTGGAAAACAGGTTGGTGGTTCCTCCCAAAGGTAAACACAAAGAGTTACCATGAGGCTGGACAATTCCACTTCTAGATGTGTATACCCAAAAGAATTGAAAACACATGACCACACAAAATCTGGTATGCTGATTTCATCATAGCATTAGTTGTAAAAGTAAAAAAGTAGAAACAATATAAAGGTTCATCAATTGATGAATGGGTAAATAACATGTTTTCAGAAGGTATAAAAAGGGATTAATAATCCCTAACATTAAAGAAACCCATACACATAAATTAGTAGAAAATGGGGCAACAGGCATGAACAGGCAATTCACATAGTAAGAGTGTCTAATAAGACAGGTGAAATGTTTCATGTCTTGGATTCAAAGAAATGGAAAATTTAAACAGGACAGAATTTTGTACAGGACTTCCTTGGTGGCTCAGACCATAAAGCGTCTGACTACAATGTGGGAGATCAGGGTTCAATCCCTAGGTCAGGAAGATCTCCTGGAGAAGGAAATGGCAACCCACTCTAGTATTCTTGCCTGGAAAATCCCATGGATGGAGGAGCCTGGTAGGCTACAGTCCATGGGATTGCAAAGAGTCAGACATGATTCAGCTATTTCACTTCACTAATCTGCAAAAATGGCAAAATGAACATATCCAATAAAGGTAAGTATATGAGCAAACAGGAAACTGTTTACTTCCTAGTGGTGGAAATGGCACCTAGTATAATTGTCATGGAAAACCATTTTGCAGTACACTCAAAGAGTTGCATGTTTAAAAATTTACACCTCCTGTGACCCAGCAGTTCAAGTTCTAGGAATTTATCTGACACACAATTATGGTTGTGTGCTTTTGGTGATGAGGATGTTCATCACATCACTGTGTATACTAGTAAAAAGCTGGAGGAAAAACCCCTTCTGCACAAATATAGGTCCTCATTAAAAAAAGTCACAGCCTTAATAGTATACTTGTTTCAATGCTGTTCTCCCTGAGCATCCCACCCTCGCCTTCTCCCACAGAGTCCCAAAGTCTGTTCTGTACATCTGTGTCTCTTTTTCTGTTTTGCATATAGGGTTATTGTTACCATCTTTCTAAATTCCATATATATGTGTTAGTATACTGTATTGGTCTTTATCTTTCTGGCTTACTTCACTCTGTATACTATCAAGGGTGAAACAGATCACCAGCCCAGGTTGGATGCATGAGACGGGTGCTCAGGGCTGGTGCATTGGGAAGACCCAGAGGGATTGGGTGGAGAGGGAGGTGGGAGGAGGGATCAGGATGGGGAACACATGTAAATCCATGGCTGATTCATGTCAATGTATGGCAAAAACCACTACAATATTGTAAAGTAATGAGCCTCCAATGAATAAAAATAAATGGAAAAAAATAAAAATAAATTTTAAAAAACTCACAGCAAAACATATTATGCAGTGGTTGACTTGATATTTTACAGGACTCCTTAATGACAGAAAAACATATTCAGGGTACTGCTGCTGCTGCTGCTAAGTCACTTCACTCATGTCCGACTCTGTGCGACCCCATAGATGGCAGCCCACCAGGCTCCGCCGTCCCTGGGATTCTCCAGGCAAGAACACTGGAGTGGGTTGCCATTTCCTTCTCCAATGCGTGAAAGTGAAAAGTGAAAGTGAAGTCACTCAGTCGTGTCTGACTCTTCGAGACCCCATGGGCTGCAGTCTACCAGCCTCCTCCGTCCATGGGATTCTCCAGGCAAGAGTGCCGGAGTGGGTTGCCATTGCCTTCT